ACTTTGTTATTCTGAACTCTGATTGATACACACAGAATTGGATTCTGACATGTACAATTAATGTTATTTATCTGACTTTTTTGACTACCACTGCATTACTGAATGTGATCGATCTATGACCGTTAAAACATTACCTGGAAATGGGTGTAGTATAAACTCATCAACTGCTAAAAGTTGCTCAACTGATATAAAGTTGCTTAGGGGGGGAAGTAAATATTATATAGAGGGCTGTTTTTGCAGACCAAGTAGACACCCCCATGTTTTTCTACATTTCATTCTAGCCTCATAGCTATCATTCCCAATAAAATGGTTGTAGAGACCAAATTGGTCCAGCTCTTAAAGCGCAGGTTCAGAGTAGAAGATAACCACTTGGGAGTGAGACAGAACATCACCATGCTTTAGTGCTGTGTTGGGGCACCTTGTACACATCACTAATTGGGGGGCCACCACACCAAATATGGCAGCAGGTCTATTGCTCCCCCTCCCATCTGTTAACCCAGAGGCATGTATTGGCCCTGTTAGGGCATAGCTGGAATTCCACAGTGCGAAAGGTACATTTTATTTTCTACAAGGCCTCCGGACTGAGACTGTCAGCTCATCCAACTTTCAAATCACACACTTCCTGTGTGTGTCCTTGGTGGGGTTTCAACTTTTTCTCTGATCTTATTCTACAGTAAAAGCCTATCATTTAGTATACATAGGCAGTATAACCAGACTTTCATCTGATCTTATTCAAGAGGCCCAGGTTATTTACTAAGAAAAAAAAAAAAAAAATCCCTTAAGAGTGAGTGGTCAAGCACTCATATACCACTTCTCAGGCTGTAGAGGTTGCAAAATAGTAGGGAAGAATTTTTTTTTTTTAATGTACCGATTCCATGGCACATGTTTATGAGCTGATACACAAAACAACGGCGGATTCAAAACGTAGTATTTAAATGTATTGTACAAAACTCTTGCAACCATATATATAATGGGGATACAACCATCCCAGCTCTGAAGATTTTGCTACTAACAGACAATCATTAGATCACTTGGTTTGGTACTGCCTATATGTAGCTTTCTTTTGGTCGCAGGTTCAGGAATGGCTTAGGAATTGCAACATTTACCTGGAGCCAACTCTGCAAATAGCACTGCTGGGTGATTTTTGAAAAGTCATAGTCAATTCATCAATAATATTATAATACTCTTAGCAAAAAAATGTATCTTTAATTTACAATCTGTAGAAACTATGAGAATAGAAAGGTTCAGACGTTTTGTGAAACATCACAGTTGAAAAATATAGAAATCAAAACTGGATGGTGTTCAGAGATAGATGGGAGGGGTTGAGGGGAGCTGAACGGTGGGACTAAAATACTGAGTCCGTAAAATGTATGTAGAAGTTTAAGTATTGTTGTCCATTAGTTTACTCCAATTAGGGGAGGGGTGGTAGGGTTAGAGGAAAATAATAAATATGGAAAATATATAAAATATGTTTACCAAATAATATATGTAATATATGGGGGATTGGAAATGGACACATAATAGAACTGTCGTACTCTGATATCATCACAAAAGAAGCAGGTTCTAGTTTGGCCTGTCCCTCACCACACTCTCTCCAGTGTCATAACAACTTACATTTCTGGGTGTGGATGAGGCATTTGATCATAAAACCTCCACACAAACACTGTAACCACACACAGAGAGCCTCTCCCTGGCTAAGGGCCAGTGCCAAGGGGATGACTAAAGATGTGTGATCCCTGGAGCATGCCAGTCTGCCTGGTTGCTGCAGACTAAACCAGCGGTTGGGCTGAGTGCCTCAAACCCCCTCTTTCAGCCGGAGAGCAGGGGTGGCACATTCCACTGCCCACCCACTCTGCTCTGTGGAGAGAGAGAAAGTTGTTTGTTCTAGTTTGGGAACAACCCGCTCTACAGCGTGAGAAACGGGGGGTCTTTAACATAGGGCTGCCACTGACTGCTGACATTAACACACACACACACACACACACACACACACGACTGCAGCCAGCCATGATAATGCTTTCATCTGGAAATCATCCCATGGTAAACAATAAAGTGCTATTAACAGGTGTTAACAGATGGGCATCATGTTCATCTGGATTGTTTCTCTTAGTGTGTACTGTCACTGCCAGGGCCAACATAAAACCCTGCTGCACAGTCTGACTGTGAGTGTCATCAGTATGCGTGTATAATTTATACCTCATAAGTCTGTCTCCTTGAGGCTGCCTCTTGACAAGGAGAGGAGAGGGCTCTGTTTTAAAGGAATGCTGCTGTGTTCTGTTGTTACCAAGCAGAAAGGGAGTCCATTAAACAGGAGGTGAATGATGTCAGTGTAGGGTCCTTGTTCTTGATTCTATTCCACACAGCACAGCTTCACTCCGTGTACAGTAAATCTGTCCTTATCCTCTTTTGTTCACTTTATCTCACTCCCTCTTTCCCACCGTCCTGGTGGAGATACAGTACAACCTTGCATAGAGCAGGCTTACTGTTCCTCTCCATTCTGAATCCCTCCTGATGACGTATTTTAATGTACCCATCAATCACTGGATCGTTACTCATTTTCCAGTGTCACAAGGCATAATACTGCAGATTTTGTGCACGATGGAGAAAGGATGGTGGTCACTTTAAATAGAAGTGACACACAATTTTATACCCAGGAGAGGTTGTAAATCGGTGTCGGTGCACAGTTGAATAAACTTGAATAACAAGTCAATGTTTCCTAGGTGCTGCCTAAGCCAGTTTACTTGTATATCTAATAGTGTTTGCAGGTCCCCACACACCAGTATCGGCTCAACTAAACTTGCCCGACTGAGCAGTCAGTGGCAGGAATAATTCAAAAGGGGCTTAGCCAGTGAAACTACATATTTTAACAGTCATCAATTATTAACATATTTCTCTCCAAAGGAAACAAAGTAGGTGGATTATCACATATCCTATAGAACATCTGGGATTATCGCTCAATGTCCTTTTCACTGATCCTATAACACAGCCCTCTCAAAGACTTGGTGTGTGTTTGTGTACAGTGAATGTCAACCCTCTCTCTGTATTGGCTGGAAACCTGATATTTTATGTCTGTCTACACCAGGCTCTGTTGATGGAGCTGTGTCAGTAGGTGGTTGAAGAAGGCTGTATGTACGATTTGCGTGTATGTGCACATTTCTATGTACCTACATGTGCAGCCCATACAGGCTGTAGTTTGCATGCGGTCTGACCAGTTGGATCAGGTCTTTCACCAGTTCAACATTTGCTCACGTCATAAGGAAACAATGCCAACAATCCCTCAGAGGGAAGGAAGTTACCGACCTAGCAGCAATAGATAAAATCATCGTTAAATTCCACTAAAAACGACCTGGTGTCACACGTAAATCTGATAAAGCCTTTAGGTATTCGCCTTCCTCTTAACCCTATGTTTTAGAATAGGTTTTAACTAGCTTGTCATCCACATCTGAAGTATTTGCTGATTGTTGATGGGCGGATTGGCAGGGATGTAGAAAACCTCAATAACCTGGCCCTCCAGTTAAAACCTATTCTAAAACATGACCTCACAAAACTTATTTTTAATATAAGAGGCCTTTGTTTTACTGTGGCGGCTGGCCAAGACTGACAGGAACATGGGCACCTCCCTCAGCTGGGGATGGTGTACCAACCTTCATTCTGTGTGTGTGTGAATGTCTAGATGTATGGTAACAATCCACCGTTTTGTCCTCCATTCGTTCAATACGAAACTCCTCCACCCTATCCAGCAGGGTTTGCCAATGGTGTCATAGCAAGGGGGTGAATGAATGGGTTGGAGAGGGCCTTTTGTGTTATGGCAACACGACGTACATCTGTGTTTGCCCAATCGTAAAGGGATGATGTAACTGAGATAACAGGGCAGGTATGCATGCTATTGAACTGTCACAAGCCATCTGAGTGCCCGGTACCAAACACATTACACGCACGCACACACCTCTTTCAAAATATTAGTGGCTCTACGAACTCCTGGCCGTAGTTTAAAGTTAATGTACCACAGTAACCCTTTAGAGACGTGGAATATTATCAAAACACATTTATTTGTACTCTGGCTTTGTGCTAGGCCCCCCGTTGACTTGCATGACTCATTCATAAGTAGCCTTTGAAAGTACAGTGTGGAGGCATTTGTGCTCTTGTGTATCTAAGTGTGAGAGGAGGAAACTAGGATGAAGTTTTTGGCAGCTGGATAAAGTCTCTCCACCGACAGAACGTTTTTCAGACATGTTTTCAATGGGCCTTTTCCCTCTTGCTGTTTCACCTCGACAGCACTGGTATTTGGTTTATGTGTCTTGGAAGGCTGTGGAGTTAGTGACCATCGCATACATCGCTAAACACACTGACTGTCCTGTTCTGCACGGCCACGGTGTGTTCTGTCTTCAGTGACACGAGGCAGTGCAGAGTGTTTAAGAAGGCTTTCACCACAGGTGTCAATTTATGACTAGAAAGGGAGGTGTTGGTTTCTCTCCTGATGACTGGGCAGTGTCAGCCATCTTTCGCTGACATGTCTAAGTGCTGTCTTTAGACAGATCATCTGTGTTCTAAGAGACCTCACTTCCCAGAACCCCCTGTCTGTCTGTCTCTCCCCCTCTTCTCTTGAGTTTAAATCTTCTCCCAGGGTGATACAAGCCAGATACCCTGATCTCGCTCTCTCTGCTGTATCTCATTGAAAACAGTTAGGCTACCACCTGTTACTTCTGTGGCCCTTCCCTCTCGTCGTCTCCTCTCTGCCCCCTCTTTTTCTTTACCCCTCGTCCTGTTCTCTGGGAATATTTTTGAAGCGATCACAGTAAAAGTTACACACGATGAGGTACTAACATCTGCCTTTTGATGTTGATAGTTCTGTGGAACATTTTATTTTACTTTCCATTGAATCCTTCCTCCTGGTTAAAATGTTTAGTATTTAGTTTGCATTTCCTGAGAAGTTTGTATTCAGTTTGAATTTCCCGAGGATAGACTGTAAATCACAATGCTGGCTGTCTTCCTCTTCACAGATCATGATCGAGTTCTGCCCTGGAGGAGCCGTAGATGCTACTATGTTAGGTAAGGAGACATGCAGTACTGTAGGCAGGGTAGTGCTGTATATGTGTGTACTCTATAATATGTGTTCTCTCCCTTGGAACATTGTTTTCATAAGCAGATTCCATGCCTGAGGCCATAGCTGCAACTGCCATGGCACTGTTGCTCTTTATGATATTGCTTTATTAAGAAATAATTATCGAACTGGGCCAAGTGACGTCTCGTTGTAATGGGTCTGCTATTGTTGCGAGGCACTAAGGGCAGACAGAGGAGACCCACACACTGTGGGAAATGCACTGTTTTCCTTTGATAATCCAGCTCCTCATTCAGCAGTTGCTGGCCCCAAATACAGCTAACCAAACACTGAGAAAATAGAAAATGTCCTGGTTTAGCATGTAAATGTTTTCTTTAAGCCAATTTACGCTCTCAGGGGGCAGTAGCCTCTTAAGACTACTTACAGCTTGTACTGGCAGCAACTCCATCTGCCTCATGGAAAAGTCCCAATGAACCACTTGCCTTTTATAGGGACTTTGGTTCTCCGTTAAAGTTGAGTTGTACCATTTTCCTGTTGAGGTAAAACCTTAACCATTGATGTACGTTAACGTGATCCCCTAACCTGTCCCCTCCTCTCTCTGATCTGCAGAGCTGGACCGGGGCCTGATGGAGCCTCAGATCCAGGTGATCTGCAGACAGATGCTGGAGGCGCTGGTCTACCTCCACAGCATCAAGATCATCCACAGAGACCTGAAGGCTGGGAACATTCTCCTCACCCTGGAGGGAGACATCAAGCTAGGTGAGACTATCTTCTCCCTCCACAATGTTCTACTCATAATGTACTCTTCTTCTCGAATACTGAAACCTCATGTTTCCAGAATGCTACAACCAATGTTCTTCTAGATTCCACAGCACTTAGCCATCTGCCATAATTTTCCTCTATGCCCCTGTCCTATCAAGTGTCCATCCCACAGAACAGGGCTGTTATCCACCTCAGTCTAAAAGTATTTGGAATAATTCTCCAATAAGCTACAGACTTCTCATTGGACATTGTATAATGGTCACGTTGTCTTTGGAAAGAGTTATCTTGTTGGTCAGCAGAGCAGGATTGGAATTTTCACATGAATGTTGCATACACGCAATCAACACACTTAGAATAAATCCTTCCCTGAGGCATCTCGGAAGAATAAAATGTGAGATGCGTGGGCAAACGGCATTCTGATACGTTTTTCTGTAAAATGTGATTTGTAGCTAGTATTCTATTGAGTTTCAGCATTCCTGAAGTTCTTTGTGCTGAGGATTTGGGTCCAAACGGTTGATAGCAGATTTTTGTTGAAGCACCACTTGCCTAACAACATGGCTGCTTTTGTGGAGCCTATAATAGCTTTATAAATGTCAGTTGGAGAGAATCTGAGGAGCTGTGCTCTACTCGACAGGGCTGCCGGTGACTCCCGTGACCTTTTAAGGACCCTCTGTGGACTCCCCCCTTTCAGCTTCTTTTTGACAGGCCTCGGCATGGGCACCCCCCATTCAGAAACTTCATACAGTCTGACTGATCCCTCATGATATAAGGCCCTCTTCAATGCCCTGAAATATTTTCACAAGCACAGACACCAGAGCTTTGATTTAATGACTGGGAGTTGCCTCTGGAGTCATTAAGTCAGTCCAGTCGGTCTCAGAAAAACCTCTGTTGCTGCTTAACAGAGAGCCTTTAATGGCAAGTTACAGTACACTTCATATGAAGCTAGTCTGTTATGCATTTTTCCTTGAAGGTTTTTGCTCCACAGATTTAGAGCATTTAGATTTGTTTTTCAGGTGGAGAGTATAGATACCCATGATGTCTAGTTAGTGTCACAGATGGGGAAAGTTATTGAGTATTTTTGTCCTAGTTTATAGGGTTTTCCCATTCATTCATCTTCCATTGAAAATTAATTGGCCCCTATAGAATTCCTCAAGGCCTAACAGGAAACTAACACCATACTTACCAAAAGGGAAGTCTGAAATCTCAGTTCATGATTTAAGAAACCGTTAAAAGGTCAAGATTGACTAGAATCTGGAGACTTTTGCCAGCATTGCTCTGGTCTCATCCCAGGCTGTCACTGTTAATGTCCTAAGAAAGACTAATGTGCAGCTAAAGCAGAAACAACATCTCTGTAAGCGCTGGGTCGTGTCTGGGGAAATGGAACTGTCGATTTGGGATATTGTGCCCGTTCAGTAAATTGAATGTCAGCTTTGCGTCTCCCCTCAATGATGTCATGGGAGTTTACGGTGTGGAAATGAATACGATGCTGAAGCGCGAAATCGGGAGTGTATGATAGGCTGCCTAGTCTTTGCAAGTCTGATCTGTGATGGATTTGATATTATGTTTATACTGGTCATACTGGTCACAATAAACCGTGTGGTAGTCTTTTCAACATTTATCGAACAAAAGCTTTGTCCGTGTAGAGGCCCGTCTCTAATAAGCGCTGGTTGTGTTCAGTGATTGAAGGAAATAAGGGCCCAGGCTATAAATTGTTTTATGGTATTCCTGCCCCGAAAGAAGATATCAGGTTATAACACTGGCCCATCAATCATCCTCTCTAACAAGAAATGGAATTCAGAATATAAAAAAAACACCTGTTGTTTCTTTGTGCTTGCAGCGGATTTTGGTGTGTCAGCAAAAAATACCAAAACCCTACAAAGAAGGGACTCTTTCATAGGAACACCATACTGGTAAGTACTTGTACATACACATGAAAACAGAGTAATGTAAATTGGTGCCGCACACTGCCACTGGGTGCGTCTCAAATGGCACGTTATTCCCTTTATAGAGCACTACTTTTGACCAGGGCCCATGGGTGCCATTTGGGACGCACACAGTGTTTAATGGGATTATGGTGGTACTGCATGACTAGAAGTTAAGAATATCCTTCCTACTACCCATGACACCTTGTGAACCAGTTATATGTCCTGCTTGACATCATAATATCATTACTTACAGTAGTTTACAGTCGTTATGGTTTGATCATAACCTTACAAGGCTCTTGTAAAAGCTGTTATGTATTAGTGTGGTTCTGGACCTTGTGCTCTGGCTGGTCCTCCAATGATCATGGTTGGGTTGAAGTTAACTATTGACCAGAACACATCTCATCCAAGGCAATGTCATCTAAAATAGCCTCTGTCACCCTGCCCAGGTGTTGTGCAATGTTCACTAGCTTCATAAATGAGTAACAGATGCAATTTCTCTCTGTATTTTACTGTGAATGTGAAGCCAAGCAGTGTACTATTTCTGAAGATTATGTAATATGTCACTTTTGATTGTAGGATCGTAGGCACTTTTGATCATAGGCCTCTGGCATCTCCAGAGCTCAGATTTGAAGTACATAGGCTACTATCCACTTGGTCCGTTAACATAGCTTAATCGAAAGTCAAACTCAAACAAATATGTGCACAAGATTTGGCATTTCGAGCTTAACCATTTGTCCTCTATTGTGCTATATTGTATTCTAGGATGGCTCCGGAGGTAGTGATGTGTGAGACCATGAAGGACGCTCCGTACGACTACAAGGCTGACATCTGGTCACTTGGTATCACCCTGATCGAGCTGGCCCAGATCGAGCCCCCGCACCACGAACTCAACCCCATGAGGGTCCTGCTGAAGATAGCCAAGTCTGAGCCCCCTACCCTGGAGCAGCCCAACAAGTGGTGAGACACAGGATAGGGAGAGGAGGAGAAAAAGAGAGAGGGGGGGTGATGTAGAGTTCGAAACCCTAGGCTACAAGCCAGTGAAGACAGCACTTTGACTGTGCATAGCTGTGGCCTTTCTAATCAGTTTTTATGAGGTGGTGCGTTCCATCGCTCAGCAGATGCAAAAGTTTGGGCCTGTTCTCCCCGGGTGCTGAGAGCTATGCTCCAGATGGGGAGAGCATTGCTAGTGAAGTTTTATTTTTCTAAGGAAATACAGTTCCTTCAGAAAGTATTCACACCCCTTGACGTTTTCCACAATTGTGACCCGTTTCAAGGAGCTAGGCGTATGTCGCACGTCACTACTTCACAGGAGAGGCATTTGAACGCTTTATTTATTTATCAAAATGTGTTTTTTGGCAGAAATGCCTTGTGGAACACGAACTTTCATGTGCCTTAATAATAAACATTTATGCCATCAGTACATACGAATACAATTCTTAAATTACGAGCCTAGGTGGTTTAGCCAATGAAAAAGACAGGAATCTTCCCGCTAGCCATAATTGGCTGAGATATAATGAGATAATGGATGGGCTGGACATACCGAGAGATGAGTTCGGATTGGTCTGCCGTGTAGCATGCTTCTGAGCTGCTCAGTATGTGGAAATAATCATTTCTACAGCAGCTTTTTTGAAAGATATAACGTTAGCCATAGAGAACTGACAGTGTTGCTGCTGCTCTCAAAGATGAGTGGGAAATCATTGTGATGGACAAACGTTACTTTCTGCACACGGTTGACCGGTGTGACTTGACACAACAACGGTCCAAACAAGCTGTAGCTGGCTACAAACCAAACGGAGAAGACACGCTGCCTTGAAGCGTTCATCCATGTATATGGGTAAGAGTCTAGCTACATTTTCAGATATTATACGCTTCTAATTTTGTCAGTCATTTTCATTGCAAGTTAAAGCATACTGTTCGCTAGCTAGCGAACATTAGCTAGCTGGCTCGCTAGTCAACGTTACATGTATGATTCTGTGTAGTAATATTATTTGTATCTCAGAAATCCATTTGCATTGCTAGTTATAGTTTAATGTTAACTAGCCAGCTAACATTGAACCTAGTTGGTTAGCTATAGCAACCTGCAGATTCATACTCCAGCATTACATGGATAGTGGCTAGCTATGCCAATCTGTTTGTACTGTAGCTATGGGTTGGGATTATGGTTCATTCTTTAGCTAGCTACATGTCTAAACAAAAAAACTCCACTTCGAAGAGAATGATTACATGACCCATCAAGTTAGCCAGGTGTGTCTAGGGGTGATTACGGCCATCTATTGTATTTCATGACCGTGTGTACATGTCTAGACAATAGTCACCTATCCACTTAGCTAGATGTGGCTGGGGGGTGGTTATAGCATTTCCAATAATTATAAAATATTTTTATTTGGACATGTTCAAAATCAGATTAGGATATAGGCCAAGGACTAGATAAAGTGTATTTTTACTTGGAGTTTTTCCTTATTGTAGGCTGCCACTTCCACCACTTTTAGTCTTGAAATCTTTGATTGTTTACCTTAAAGAGATGGGTGGGGCTAAGGGTTAAGAGGGTGTGAACGATGATGAATAGATGCAGACAAAGAAGAGTTCTCCAGTAGGTGTACCAAAACATTCAAGATCCATTTTCTCAAAAGTGGGGTTACAAGTTTATCAACTTTCAAAGCAGATTTTCTTTCCCATTGTTCCTCAACTGCAGTGTATGATATACCATTTTCTAGTCTCTACTTTTATCCAATGTAAAAAACACAATTTCAAATGTTGCTACATAGGACCCGAATCCAGGTGGTGGGTCACATTTTGTTGTTACAAAGTGGAATTAAAATGCATTTAATTGTAATTTTTTGTCAATGACCTACACAGAATACTCTGTCAAAGTGGAAGAAAAATTATAACATTTATTTAAAAAAATATCTTGATTTAGATAAGTATTCAACACAGCGATTACAGCGGAGTCTTTCTGGATAAATATCTAAGGGTTTTCCACACCTGGATTGTGTAACATTTGCCCATTCTTTTAAATTCTTCAAGCTCTATCAAATTGGTTGTTGTCCCAAAAAATTGTCAAAGACTCGAGTCACCCAAGTCATAGTCTGTTCTCTCTGCTACCGCACGGCAAGCGGTACCGGAGTGCCAAGTCTAGTACCAAAAGACTCCTTAACAGCTTCTACCCCCAAGCCATAAGACTGCTGAACAATTAATCAAATGGCTACCCAGACTATTTACATTGACACCTCCCCCCTTTGTTTTTACACTGCTGCTACTCGCTGTTTATTATCTATACATAGTCACCTTACCCCTACCTACATGTACAAATTACCTCAACTAATCTGTACCCCCGCACATTGACTCAGTACCAGTATCCCCTGTATATAGCCTCGTTATTGTTATTTATTGTGTAACTTTTTAGTTATTTTTTACTTAATTTTTTTTTGTAAATATTTTCTTAACTCAATTTCTTGAACTGCATTGTTGGTTAAGGGCTTGTAAGTAAGCATTTCACGGTAAGGTCTACACCTGTTGTATTCGGCGCATTTGATTTGATCATTGCTAGACAATTTTTAGGTCTTGCCATAGATTTTCAAGCAGATTTAAGTAAAAACTGTTACTCAGCTACTCAGGAACATTCACTGTCTTCTTGGTAAGCAACTCGTGTAGATTTGGCCTTGTGTTTTAGGTTATTGTCCTGCCTAAAGGTGAATTCATCTCCCAGTGTCTGGTGTAAAGCAGACTGAACCAGGTTTTCCTCTAGGATTGCCTGTGCATAGCTCCATTCCCTTTCTTTTTTTATCCTGAAAAACTCCCCAGTCCTTAAGGATTACAAGTATACCCATAGCATGATGCAGCCACCACTATGCTTGAAAATATGGAGAGTGGTACTCAGTAATTGGTTGTATTGGATACACTCCAAACATACTTTTTGTGCTGGATACAAAGTGCTATTTGCCACATTTTTTTTGCTGTATTACTTTGGGCCTTGTTGCAAACAGGATGTATATTTTGGAATATTTTTTATTCTGTACAGGCTTCCTTCTTTTCACTCTGTCAATTAGATTAGTATTGTGGAGTAACTACAATGTTGTTGATCCATCCTCAGTTTTCTCCTATCACAGCCATTAAACTCTGAAACTGTTTTAAAGTCACCATTGGCCTCATGGTGAAATCCATCAGTGGTTTCCTTCCTCTCCGGCAACTGAGTTAGGAAGGACACATGTATGTTTTGTAGTGACTGGGTGTATTGATACACCATCCAAAGTGTAATTAATAACTTCACCATGCTGAAAAGGGATATTTAATGTTTGCTTTTTTTGTTTTTACCCATCTACCCTTCTTTGCGATGCATTTGAAAACCTCCCTGGTCTTTGGGGTTGAATCTGTTTGAAATTCACTTCTCAACTGAGGTACCTTACAGGTAATTATGTGTGGGGTACAGATATGAGGTAGTCATTCAAAAATCATGTTAAACACTATTATTGCACACAGTGAGTCCATGTAACTTACTATGTGACTTAAGCACATTTTTACTCCTGAGCTTATTTAGGCTTGCCATAACAAAGGGGTTAAATACTTACTGACTCAAGAGATTTCAGCTTCTCATTTTTAATAAAAAATAAACAACATAATTCCACTTTGACATGGAGTATTGTGTGTAGGCCTGTGACGACAAATCTCAATTTTAATATTTTTTAAATTCAGGCTGTAACACAACAAAATGTGGAAAGTGTCAAGGGGTGTGAATACTTTTTGAAGGCACTGTATAGCTGTGTTTATAGCAATGATTACCCACCCTGAAGCGTTGTGCAGCCAACTGTGTATGCTATTCTTGAGTCTGTTCCGTTCTAGCCTCCAATGTCATGAAGTTGTGTAGTGAAAATACAATATCTCCTTCTTTCCGTCCTTCTTTGATTAATGTTCCCGGAATTCTGTGTGTTTAAGGTCACGGGAGTTTAAGGATTTCCTGAAAAAGTCGTTGGATAAGAATCCGGAGAGTCGGCCAAACGCAGCCCAGCTCCTGGAGGTAAGATAGTCACTCTATAGTCTAGCTCGGTCTCTTTGATGTATGAGGACGGTTTCCCCTTATCTCATTCTTCATAGGTCCACGATCTTATCCTCCCAAACATCAGCTTTTTCAGACATGAGGAATGGGAAGATGATACAATGGGTAAATGAGCGGTACCATACAGAGGGCATTTGGGAGATGGAGGGAGAGAGAGAGAGAGAGAGAACAAGGAAATAAGAGACGAGGCGTCTATTAAAATGCAGGATCCACTGCTTCCTGTCTGGGTCCGAAAGCAGGGGGGATCGCTAGCAATTTGTATTCCTGTTTCCAGCTAATGGCACTTTGGGATTTCTCCGTATTCTCTCTACCCCTGGCCAATTACAGGGGCCGTGTATCCTGGCCAAAAGCCTGCTGGGAGTTTACAGAGCACCGGAGAGAGACCGGAGTGGTCGCGTTCGGTGCCACACTGTAGGTTTTGATCTCTATCATACCACTGCTGCTTTTAACCCCAGTGAGATAGCATTGATGGGAATGAGACCCATTGAACAGCAGCTATCCGCACTCGCTGTGGCTTATTGACACACTTTGTGACAGGGGGAGGATGCCTTGGGGTTACTTTGTCTGTGCTGTGGCTCACTCATTACATTGACATTTTAGTCATTTAGCAGACGCTCTTATCCAGAGCGACTTACAGTTAGTGAGTGCATAAAAATGTTTCATACACGTTGATTGAGATAGCTGGAAATCTAATTGTTAGAGGTCAGTTTATTTGTATCCATTATTCCAGTCAACGCTTGGACGATGTCCATGTGCTATAGTATGTGTCAGGGGACAAACATAAAACAGTCTAGTCAATGTGACTGTAGCTCTCCTCTCTCCCACTCTGTTATGTCATGTCCATGGCTTCCTCATCCCATGTGGGGAATGTTGTATACATGTTGTCTACACAACCACATGATGAAGTATCATAATTTACCACAGCTGTGACGGTGGATCTGGTGGGGACCATCTGTCCCTAACTACAGATTTTAGGATCAGATTACCCAAGCCCAAATCCCGACATTAACCATTAGGAGGAAAGGACAAGAACTGACCCTGGACCAGAGGTTATGAATAACTTCACCCAACTCCAGCCATTCTGTGCCTCTACCTCTCTGAAGCCAGCCACGTAGGCCATGTGGTTCACATTGAAGCATTTTGCGCTCCGCGGCCCATCAGCCGTCCAGACCAGACCAGCCCCTCCCTGACAGAAACATCAGAGGGAGCCGTTAAGCTGGGCTGAGCCACGGCTGGATCAAACAAGGCTGGGAACTAATGCTGGTCCGTTTGCTTTCTTCAACCACTGAACATTTTGCTTAATGTAGCAGTGGTGGTCCGGGCTCATTTTTCATAGTAAACCTGTTGAAGCCGGAGGGGCAGAGTAAAGTCTCAGAGTAGGAGTGCTGATCTAGGATCAGCTTTGCCTTTTTAGAGTATAATGAATACATTACATGGACAAGAGGGAACTGATCCTAGATCAACACTCCTACTCAAAGATGCTTTATGAATATGGGCCCTGAGTTGTGAAGCTCCTTTGTGAGACCGGGCATGGGGAGAGGTTCTCATGGGGCCTCAAAGGGGCTGCTGTGTGATATGTGTTGAATCAACAGAATTACCACAACCTGCCAGAAAAGGATTCACTGTTCAGTTGAGCAGAAACCAAACCTGTGTTTTATAGAGCGGTAGCTTCCATGGATACCCAGGAAGTGTTAATGCGTTGTTTCAAAGAGTGTCTGAATAATTTCTGTTGAACTTCCTGTGAGCCATGTTCATAAGTCTTAGTGAGGTGTTTTCAAATGCTTCTCACTGCTTTCCTTGCTACCCCAGACACTGTGTTGTGGTGTTCAAGTCCAGCACTTTGCCTGGGTGTTTTTCCTCTCCTGTGTGATAGCTGGCACTCTGCTTTCCCTGAGTCATTGTTGACTTTATACATTTTCTGTCATTGGAGAAGTTAAAAGCTAATGCTATCCACACGGATGGAGGCAGCCCAGAGGGTCCCTTTCTGCCTCAGCCACTCTCCTCTCACATGCCTACCTGCCTGCCTGTGCCAGCTGGGCCAATTAAATTAGTCATTGTGCAAATCACCTAAATAATGGATGACTTGCTCTTTTATTTTTGCTGCACTTACCTTTTCACAGCCTTGTTTGTGGCTGTCAAATTATCCCCTCAAGCCTGCTCCTATTCTTACACTAATTTAAATTATTCATATTTTTTTTTTTTTAGCTCGGTCTTATCTAGGAACTTGGTATTATAAGCACATGAGGATTAGGGGTAATCTTCATTGTTTCATCAGGGTGAGCTCATACCCTGGTCTCGTGGATGCTTGCTACTGTTTCTACTGTTTAGAAACACCCATGGGTAGATACAGGTGGCAGATTACATTTCTGTCTCCTGTGAAAGTACCGTTTTCCTGTTTGCTTTCTATGCCCCTGTCAATCAGGTGTTGTTCTATGGTTGTAACATGGTTGTCCTTACTCCCCCTCTTTTTATCGCCCCCCCCCCCCAGCACCCCTTTGTCTGCTCGGTGAAGACCAACAGACCCCTGCGAGAGCTGGTTGCCGAGGCGAAGGCTGAAGTCATGGAGGAAATTGAGGACAATAAAGAGGAAGGAGAGGAGGATGACACCGCTGAGTTCACAGTCCCAGTGGTAAGACCCTTTTACTGCTCTCTCGCCTGTGGCCCTTTATCCTTTCCTGCATTCCTTTTCTCCTATATCCCTCTCTTTCTCGTACAATGAACTTTCACATCCGTTCTTATCAGTGGCGCTTTCCTATTGTTTCCTTAAGTCCTCGTTTCACATAGGCCTCAAAGTAGTTTGGTTTATACAACCAATAAATATTCTGTTTTAACAATCATTGTGAGAGTGAAATTAAGGGAGGATATTGTGATATGTACATAGCTGAATAAAAGTACAGTACTTTTGGCAGTTTCTATGTATGGTGACTTTTCTTTTGATAGTTTCTGCTTGCGTGCCCCACACACCAGAATCTGCAGCTTCCTGTGCACCAGTGTGGGCCCCTCCTGGGTGCATGAATCAGCTGTGTAGTGCTAGGGCAAAAACCTACATGTGCACCCAGGGGGGCCCCAGGACGGAGTTAGGAAAACCCTGGTCTAGACTCAGACTGGGCAGGGGAAGTGGTCAGGACAGCTCTCTCTAAAGTGTGGGGGGGTTTCTGTGGTGTTCGGTTAGCACACACTGAGATGGGGCAGAGGACACGCACACACTGCTCACTGAGAGGATAGAACGGACACTAAAGCACATTCTGCACACACTGATAGTCACACACTCCCTGGGCGACCTCAAACTCCAGCTGCCATGGTCATTATGTCCATGATGAGGACTCAATATGGTCTTTCTACTATTCAAACACAGATTGAGCCTAGTCCTGGACTAAAAAGCAATCTTAATGGAGAATCTCCATTGAAAATGGGTTTGAATCCAGGATTAGGCTTAATCTGTGTCCGGTAAACCGCCCCTAAAACATCTACTATTCAAACACTATAAGATCTGCTAATCAAACGCTTCCAGTTAACTGTTTTTCTGGTTGAGAGTAATAGGTTTACTGTATATGAATGTATTGGGGGACTGGATTAGAAAGTGAGGGGAAATCCGAAGCCACTAAATCACTGGTGCTCAACAAAGGAACATCATTTGGAACACTTGCTTTCACACACCCAGTTACCCACCGCAAAAAATAGAGGCTATTTGTTGTCCTGTACACCGGCACAAATATCGCTTTACCTCCTCTTGGGGGACTTAATTATTTAAAGTTTGACATGGTTCCTTTTCCACAGACATGCCCCTTAGATAAACATATACACTTGCATTTAAACTGTATGTTTTCCTAATAAAACTGTGCTGAAGGGAAGTTGGACATTAGATTGGTAGGATTGTTTCTAGGTGATAATGAGTCATTCATAACTGTTATGTGATATGGACCTGAGGTCATTTCAGGTCTGTAATTTTAGATGGACCATAGCAGTCGTCTTCCTTATTGCTACCCTTCGCTCATCAGTAGAGTCAGCTGTCTGTCCTGTCCTCTAGCATTATAGCTACTGCTGACACAGTCAAGAGATCAGCACGTTTCATTCCTGCACTCTCCTGACGGAAAACCCCCGTACGCAAACGCGCACACACACTCCAAACTGCTTTCTTCTGACAATCAGAAACCCCCCTCCCCAGACGGAAATGCAAGGCCTGAGAGTGCAGCTTTCAGGAATTCTTAGTCATCCTTCACCACACACACACACACACACCCCAGAGGTACAGTATGATCAAAAAGGGTAGTTTTGAGATATTCATATTTGTAAAGTTGAATACATTAATGTGAAAAATCGTATTTCAGAATCTAGACATACTCTAAGATGTTGTCTGTATCATGTAAGGTCAGAGGTGGCACCACAGGTCCCAGAGTGGTGGTACCACCTTTTTTCTCCTGATGGTTACTTGCAGGTAAAACTCTAGAACCTAGTTGTAGCAGGGACCTTAAGGGTTGCCCTATTGTCTGGGGCAAGTGAACTGAGCAGCCGGGCAAGTTGAGCCTGCTCTAAAGTTGCCCCAGGTAAAAAAACTGAACCACAAAAATGTAAGGAATTCCCTTAAGCCTAAAACTGATCTTTCTGGTTCATCCCCATTTATTTAAGTGGAAGACGGACTATATATGGCAGCCGGGCTAGTTGAGCCTGATTTGTGGTTGTCCCATTAGGCAGAGCATTTAAAAAAACTGGCTTAGGCTATAAATGCGTAACGTTAAAGCTTAGTTTCCCCTGGCCAAATAAGACAGGGCACATAGGTGGAGGCTACAGTTGATCAGAGTGATACAGCATGTCAGTTCGCTACTGTTTAGGTGTAGGCTACAGTTGATCAGAGTGATACAGCATGTCAGTTCGCTACTGTTTAGGTGTAGGCTACAGTTGATCAGAGTGATACAGCATGTCAGTTCGCTACTGTTTAGGTGTAGGCTACAGTTGATCAGAGTGATACAGCATGTCAGTTCGCTACTGTTTAGGTGTAGGCTACAGTTGATCAGAGTGATACAGCATGTCAGTTCGCTACTGTTTAGGTGTAGGCTACAGTTGATCAGAGTGATACAGCATGTCAGTTCGCTACTGTTTAGGTGTAGGCTACAGCAACATTTCTGTAAAGAGTTTTTGCTTGGGTCTGTCGGGAGTGAGTTATTTTCATGTTTGCTAAAATAATACTGGAGTAAAGTGGAGAGTGCTTTCTATATACGTGCGCATGCCAGACCTGCAATTTCCGTAAGTCTGATTTGGTACACACACACACACAAACACAACCTGCAGCACTCTGGTGAGAAGGACATGGGCTACTAATTGTGTGTGAGTTGACGAATTATGAGGCAAGGCAAGTCCATCTAAAAAACAGGAAGCCTACTTTGTCCCTGTTTTCAATGCTTTAGCGTCATGATTTTGTATTAAACCAAATAAAAAGTGGTGGGGTTCTGCCCCACCTAATTGAAAAGGACTGGAGCAAATGCCTGCTCGCCACACGTTTGCCGGCGGCCCTGATACACACACACAGTGTAGTAGCGGATGTATTGGCGGATAGGTTGTAAACAGCCGTCTCAGGGTCTGGAGAGCAGCCAGCCAGCCAGTTCTCTCTGGTATGATCTTCTCTCCAATTGTTTTTAGAGGAGCCATTAGAAAGGCTGGCCCCGGTCGTAAAGATGGCTGATGACATTGTTTGCTTAAGGCTCCGAGACAGCTCTCTGCACGTGAGCCACGGGACATCAACAGGATCTACACCTGTTGTTATTATTAGTGTGTTATTACTGATTACATACTTATCTCCGGTGCACAGAGCAGAGTAGGTAAGTGATGTAGGTAGGAGTTTAAAAAGGAACAACTGCATTGCTCCAGACAGTACCACTAAAGGTCAACGCTGCCGATCTACTGCCATATGAAGCCGAGAACTTCAGCATTAGGACTAAGACCATTAAGCATTACGGCTAAGTCCATTTCATTTGGCTCGTATTAGAGGGATCACTTTGAACATTGGCGCTGAAGGTGCTTCTGGGGAAAAGGTGTGAAAAAGGCACCCGTGTTGAAATGCTTTGTCACATAACAATGTTCCTCCTCTCCCCAGCCTCCAGGCAAGGACCTGTCTCAAACCAGTCAGACCAGTCTACAAGGGGACAATGCCCCAGACACACCCACCAAAACCCCCGTGGTGGATGAGGCCAAACTCCCCGTGAGACCTTCCCGCAGGAAGGATGACCAGCTGATTGACCAACAGCTCCCCGATGAGGGCATCAGCATTGTGGACTCTGACAAGCCCGAGAGCGAGACCTCTGGCAAGGCCTTCTCCAGCTCCGACTCGGGCATCGAGGATGGGAAGAGCACCCCCACCTCGGACGAGGGCAAGCCTGAGACAGAGAACCCGGCCCTTCTGGCACAGCCTGAGGTGGTAGAGGTACCAAAGATGCCCCAAAGCCAGTTGGTGGAGGAGGGAGGAAGCGGTGGCATGGGCAGTTGGCAGATGCCCGTGACTGGGGGAACAGGGCCCACCACCCCTACCCCAGACCCCACACCTTTGATCGGGCTGAACGGCAGCATGAGGAGCGTAGGGGCTAACATGGACAACCTGATGCCCCACCACAACGCCAACGGCAGGATCTCCAAGAGGTACTCTGACGCGGGCAGCGTGTCTGCTTCTGAGAGCATGGACATCAGCCTCAACCTGTCAGGAGACATGTCAGTCAACAAGGACAATGGATCCCTCTGCCCCAGGGTGGTGAGTAATCCCATATTTAATGTCACATTTCCAATTATTTATCCTAGTGTTTTACCCAAAAAAACTCAGACTTTTGTATTTCCACGGCCCGGCTCCAGTGACTCACTGGGCCATGGTCTCGGCAGACCTGCTCTGGCTTGGGGCCAAGGCGAGACAACTGGGATATTTTGGGGTGCATTTTACATAACAATGGCTAGCTGTGGACATGGATTAACACCTTCCATGGTTAACACCTTCTCACAAAGCCGCTGTTTTGATTATGCAAAGATAAAAAAAAAATAGCACATTCTAAGATGACATGACGGAGTAGAGTAATGTCAAGTATCAGTGACTGGACCAGTGTGGGCCTCTTGACAATGTCATACGTCATGACTGAGGTATTACTGGGACACAAGGGTGTGTGTGTAGGAGAGTAGCCCAACTCCGGTTATTACATGAGCTTGACTTCTCCTTGGAAAATCTTCCCAGGGAGGAACTGAAACGGTTATGTGTAATGTTGTGATTTGGCCCTAGGGCAGGGATCATCAAGTAGATTCAGCCGCCGAGACGTTTAAAAAAAAATTTCTGGGGCGGATGGTCTTGGGGCCCGGAACATATTTACAAATAATTTGTAGACTGCAAATTGACCTTAAGAAGCCCAAACAGATGCACTATATGACCAAAAGTATGTGGACACCTGCTCGTCGAATATCTCATTCCAAAATCATGGGCATTAATATGGAGTTGGTCCCCCCTTTACTGTTATAACAGCCTCCACTCTTCTGGGAAGGCTTTCCACTAGATGTTGGAACATTTCTGTGGGGACTTGCTTCCATTCAGCCACGAGCATTAGTGAGGTCGGGCACAGATGTTGGGCGATTAGGCCTGGCTCACAGTCGGCGTTCCAATTCATCCCAAAGTTGTTCGATGGGGTTGAGGTCAGGGCTCTGTGCAGGCCAGTCTTCTTCCACACCGATCTCGTCAAACTATTTCTGAATGCACCTCGCTTTGTGCATGGGGACATTGTCATGCTGAAACAGGAAAGGGCCTTTCCCAAACTGTAGCCATAAAGTTGGAAGCACAGAATCGTCTAGAATGTCATTGTATGCTGTAGCGTTAAGGTGCCTAGCCTGAACCATGAAAAACAGCCCCAGACCATTATTCCTCCTCCACCAAACTTTACAGTTGGCACTATGCATTGGGGCAGGTAGCGTTCTCCTGGCATCTGCCAAATCCAGATTCGTCCGTCGGACTGCCAGATGGTGAAATGTGATTCATGACTCCAGAGAACGTTTCCACTCTCCAGATTCCAATGGCGGCAAGCTTTACACCACTCCAGCCGACGCTTTGCATTGCGCATGGTGATCTAGGCTTGTGTGTGGCTGCTCGGCCATGGAAACCCATTTCATGAAGCTCCCGATGAACAGTTATTGTGCTGACGTTGCTTCCAGAGGCAGTTTGGAACTCTGTAGTGAGGGTTACAACCGAGGACAGATTATTTTTATGCGCTTCAGCACTTGGCTGTCCCGTTCTGTAAACTTGTGTGGCCTACCACTTCGTGGCTAAGCCATTGTTGCTCCTAAACGTTTCCACTTCACAATAACCGGGGCTGCTGTAGCAGGGCAGAAATTTGACAAAAGGACTTGTTCGAAAGGTGGCATCCTATGATGTTGCCACATTAAAAGTCACTAAGGTCTTCAGTAAGGCTATTCTACTGCCAATATTTGTCTATGGAGATTGCATGGCTGTGTACTTGATTTTATACACCTGTCAGCAAAGGATATGGCTGAAATAGCTAATCTGCTAATTTGAGGGGTGTCCACATTTTTGTGTATATATAGTGTATAATGTTAGACTAAAACATAATTTCAAACCTTGCTTACATTTGTATATGTTCACGTCTCTCCATTATGCGTGGGAATAATTGGGAACAGATTTCTTAAATTAAAATCACTTGGAGCTGATTTTCCTAGTGTTTTTACAGTCTTATGTCCAACAATACCTTCCACACAATTTATTGTTTTTTTGATCAGAACTTGGGGGGCCAAATAAAACCACCCGCAGGCCGCCAGTTGGGGAACCCTGTCCTAAGGTGTGAGCTCACAACAAAGAACAGCTTGTCTTAAACTACCCCTAACCTGCATTCGTACATACACTTGTCAATGAGTGAAATTTCAAAGTTTTATGGAAAAAGCTGAATTTCTAGCAAAAGAGGCTCTGAGATGGAATCAAACTGATGTTCTCTATGAAATGGACACATCCCATCCTTTTAATAACAAGTCTGTTTGTGCTAAAACTATTCAATTTTCCATTCATTATGACCAATGGCTCTTTGTGTTGAGCTCTGTTCAGCATTCGGTATTGTGAACGTCATTTCTATACAGCCATTGTTGCCGGGGGAGCTTCTGGTTGTTAATGGACATAACAGGAAATCTATTCATTGTTGGACTTGTGTTCTATTTGTGATATGTATATTTCCAGAACAGATTATTCAGCAGTTAATTTGCCACTGGGCTAGATGAATAGGAGATCTACGTTAGACCCAGTAACAGTGTGAGGTTATATACATGAGAGATGGGCAGGTCAGGCGAACCAGGGGTTTATGAATGGAGATGTATGAGAGAACACAGATCAAGGGAGGCAAGAGCCAAAGGCAATGCTCCTTCTGAGCTGTTGCTACAGTACATACACCTGTGCCCTCTGAGCACACTGGATGTGTGCTCACTTGTTCACATACATACGCACCGACGTCATCGCACAGTGTCTCTGTCAAAGGTTTAGAAGAATGGCTACAGCACGACATGTTTACTCACTGTACCTTCTCTGGTGAGAGACGTACAGAGAACGGTGTTTGTTCAGCTGGCCCCTTACATTTTCACTTTTCATCAATAGGAAAAAAGCCCTTTAAAGTAGCCATGTGTCACCCAGGGTCGTGCTACTCTTCCTGGACAGAGACGGGAGTGGGTCTGACCTAGTGAGAACCAGTGTGGAGCCTGTCTCTGTTTCTGTACTGGGGGATGAGAGAGCTCTGTTGTCTGAGAGAATCCAACTTCCTGCTTGGCACTCCCTCCCTGTACAGCAGAGCAGGGTAATTATAGAGGAACCGGCCCAGCAGGATCCCCCTGTCTTAATGACCACACACACCGCACCGAATGTTGATCTGCCGCTTGTCTGCCGTTCGTTTGGCGTGGCGTGTTTTAGGGACCACCCGCTGTAGATTTGTTTTGCAAATTACGTCCGGCACCCTGTTCAGAATTGCTAAGTACTTTCGGCTGGCAAATGCTACCGATGTGTCCATGCCTTTCCACTACTGCTCTTTCCTGTCAACTGGCAGGCAGACTGTGCAGTGTTCTCCATACACCGCCTTCTCCTTTTAAAGACATACTAGTGTGTTGTCGTCATGTATCATGGCAAGGAAACAAAACATGAAGTGGACTACATTTCCTGATTTTTTTTTATTTTTTTTATTTGTATATTTTTATTATATTTTTTTATATATTTTTTTAAACAGTCCTAATGGTAAAAATAACATTGCTGCAGTCACTCAATCGTGATACTGTATTGTGACACCAAACACACACTGTGCCCCCTCTAGTGCCCCCTAATAACTCTCTCTCTCCTCCAGGATTCTCGTTTCTCCAATAAGACATTGAAGCGCACCAGGAAGTTTGTCATTGACGGCTTGGAGGTCAGTGTGACCACATCCAAGATCATCGGCGATGATGAGAAGAAAGATGAAGAGATGAGGTTTCTCAGGCAAGTCACACTGCTTCCTGGAAAACAGTGATAAGATATTCAGTATACCAGTAAACAATGTATACCAGTCACTGGTTTCATATGGGCCAAATATTTCACTATTTTGCATGACTGTGTACGACTCCCTAAACAGCCCCAATTTGACAACAAATAATTGAATCTTGGTAGAGGATTCTGAAACGTCACGAGTTGAAGATCTGGCACAAAGTGTGCTTTCATTGCCATCTATTGGTGATAATTTGACACCACACTCTGTTGGTTCATCAGTTCAGTCTATGGTTCATGCACAGTCGGAGACTAGTGATTACTCACACACTACCTGGTAAGATTCCACTAATCTGTAAACTCTGTTCTCATCGTGATGAGGGAGCAAGGCTTTCCCATAAACTCTACTTTCCTCTTATCTGTTTTTAATCCAAGGCAATGTCATCTCCCTCAGTGTTTTAGACTGTCCAAAAGTATGTAAAGGTCATGACCTAAGACCGTAAGAATATTTGAACTTATTTTGAACTGTGTGTCGTGTGCGCCCGTGTGTGTGTGCAGGCGTCAGGAGCTGCGGGAACTGCGTCTGCTGCAGAAGGAGGAGCACCGTGCTCAGGCATTACTCAACACCAAGCTGGATGCTCAGAAGGAGCAGATGCAGCGACGCTTCGACCAGGAGATGAACGTAGGACTACACACACACTGACACACACACTATAGTCTTGCATCGGGTTGGATACCCACGGTTCCCTGCGGGTGACCCAAAAAATAATAATCAGCTAGCGGGTGTAATGAAAACATTATTTCAACCCGAGGGTCGGCTTGTGGTTCAGAACAATTATATTGTGGGTCGGAAATGTTTTAAATCAAGATAATATCTTTTTTACAAACCCAGGAGCTTGTTGCATTGTGTTGCGGATTCCATTCTGTGAGACATAGCCTAGGCTGCCAGCCACGCACACAGTGAGAGAGGAGCAGGGAACTGTCTATTATTTGTGTGGTGCTGAAACATTCCTAATTTGTCCATGTGCAGCGCTTATGTTCCCTCCCGAACATGACAATACGTTGCCAAATTCTGGCCTCCTTTCCCTGGCTAGCCTAACTTACGCGGAAATAGCTAATGTAGCCTGACCAGAGAAATAAAAAGAGAGCCTATGATAATGATGGTGGAATACACCATTGTGGAAACAGGTGCTGCGTGAGTGGAAACCCCGGTTTGGAAGGATTTTGGACTCATTGTGGACAAGGAGGACAGCCTGGTAGTATTTGTTTATGATAATTCAGTTAATTATTACGCTAATTCAGGCTTTCGTTCATTTAGACAATACGCAGGCCATATAAAATCTCAACCTATGTGTGTGCACAAAAGTATTTTATGGGCCTAATAGTAAAGTAATGTCATATAAATGGTAAAAAATGTTTTACCTTTTAATTTGGCATGAACACGACCAGTCATGATATGTTTTTATCTTATTGTCCAACAAATCAGCTGCGCATTTTGGTCAACTCCAAAATAATTCCAGCATCCAAACAGTGCACTTCTCACTCACGCCATTTGATGAATGGAAAGAGACATCTGTTACAAAACACAAAGTGTAATGACATTCGAATCGATTGTCATTGGGTCTAAACCAGCTGTCTGTTCCCAAACTAGGGGTCGCGTGAGAATTTCAAAAATCCTAACAATTTTCTTTTTTACATTTGGGAAAAGATTTAGCGTCTTTATCTCAAAGTCATGTAATGTGGTATTTCTTAAAAACCTCTATGAAAATTATTGAAATCTAAAAGAGAAAATTAAACCAGAGTGCCCTTGGATCGTGAGAGAACCTGTACTTGTGCCCTTAAATTGGAATGATTCAAGTGCAACAGTCAAGTGCGGCCTTTCGAGCTGTCATGTGACCGAATGCTGCAGACAAAGCTTTCACGGGTCATTACGGAGGAGTTTTGGTTCCTGACTCAAAAGGAATAGCCTGCCGTCTCTCTGAGCATTAAAACTCATGGTACCCTTCACCCAGCGCATATACAGTACCAGTCAAATGTTTGGACACACCTACTCAAGGGTTTTTCTTTATTTTTACTATTTTCTACATTGTAGAATAATAGTGAAGACATCAAAACTATGAAATAACACATTTGGAATTGTGTAGTAAGCAAAAAAGTGTTAAACAAATCAAAATATATTTTATATTTGAGATTCTTCAAATAGCCACCCTTTGCCTTGATGACACTCTTGGCATTCTCTCAACCAGCTTCATGAGGTAGTCACCTGGAATGCATTTCAATTAACAGGTGTGCCTTCTTAAAAGTTAATTTGTGGAATTTCTTTCCTTTTTAATGCGTTTGAGCCAATCAGTTGTGTTGTGACAAGGTAGGGTGGGTATACAGAAGATAGCCCTATTTGGTAAAAGACCAAGTCCATATTATGGCAAGAACAGCTCAAATAAGCAAATAGAATTTACTTTAAGACATGAAGTTCAGTCAATACCGAACATTTCAAGAACTTTCTTAAAGTGCAGTCGCAAAAACCATCAAACGCTATGATGAAACTGGCTCTGAGGATCGCCACTGGAATGGAAGACAATATCATTCTTAATTCATGGCATGGTTTCCTTTTATCCAAATGTTGAATAGAAATACAGAAAAATTAATTCACGCAGAAAAAAGGAATAGCCTAAACTACTCTGGAGTCAAAAACAATTAAATCAATTGATGTTATTTGACGGGTCACTGATCGGCTCTCGGAACAATTCTATGCGGGTGGGTCAGGTTGCGGAGAAAAATCTGTGCTGATATCGGGTGGGGATCGTAATTGATGTGGCCGGCGCGGGGCTGGTGTGCACTGATAGAGGCCTCTACATACCAATGGTCTCTTTTCATCTACACCCACTAATGTAAAAAAGACCAGAATTCCTTGATTCCTCCAATCTACACCAACACCATAATATTATCTCTCTTCCTCTGTTTATGGAATGAAGGAAGGAACCCCTGAGTTCACTCTAACACCCACACTCCTGTCATATCAACATCCATTTGGATAGCTGTCTGATTAAGGGAATCCCTTTTCCACAACCTCCCACACATGTCTATGAACAAGTAGGGGATCTCCTCTCTGCAGAGGAGGCTGGTGGGAGGAGCTATAGGAGGACGGGCTCATTGTAATGAATGGAATGGAGTCAAACGTGGTTTCCATATGTTTCATGTGTTTGACGCCGTTCCATTTATTCCATTCCAATGAGCCCGTCCTCCTATAGCTCCTCCCACCAGCCTCCTCTGCCTCTCCTTTTTGACATTTTCCAAACCTTCCCAGCTTTGTCCCCTCTTAGCCCACCAGGATCATGGCTACTTATGATATAAAAATGGCGATTAGTTTTATTTCTTGCTGAACATGTTTAATTCCTTCTCTCTGCTCCTCCAAGGTGAAGAAGAAGTACTATGACACGGAGCTGGAGAGCCTCGAGAAGCACCAGAAGCAGACCATCGAGAAGATGGAGACGGACCACACCATGAAGCTCAGGGACGAGACCAAACGTATCCGCGCCGAACAGGACCGCGACTACAACAAGTTCCAGGATCAGATGAAGCGCAACAAAAAGGAGGTGAGGGAGTGCGTGTGCCTGTGTATTCATGTTCTAGTGTGTGGACGGTGGGCATCAAAATGAAAGCAGTATTGTTATTAAGTCAATACGTTTTACAATCATTTTTCCAGGTGAAGAATGAGATTGAGAAGCTCCCCAGAAAGTCACGGAAAGACAGCATGAAACAGAGAATGAACACCTTTACACAGATGAAACAAACTGAGGTAAACACAAGCTGCTTTCTTTTTCACTCCACCACTGACCTCTAAATCCAGTTAATATACTAACGGTAGCTAGCTATAATCACATATTAACGTCTCATCACTGCCTGTTTCCTGTGGTTTAGGAGCAGAACTACCTGTCGGCCCAGAAGAACCACCTGGACATGACCCTGAAGAGGATCATCTCAGAGAACAAGAGGGAGATCTCAGAGACGGAGAGGCAGTGTCTCAACAAGAAACAGCACCTTGTCAGAGGTACAGCATCAGTCATGCTGGATGGCTGGGTGCCATCAACACAGTTATCAGAATGACAGTTGCTGCTCGTCTGGGAGGGGTCTAGTCAGAACCCCTTCACAGGGAAGCTAACGCCCTGAGATCTATTAAAGGGATGGTTTGAGATTTTGGCCATTTCTACATACCCAGAGAGATTAACTCAAGGATACCATTTTTATGTCTTTGTGTAGTTTGAAGGATGCTCGTTGAATATAGTTTCTGGAGCCATTGCTAACTAGCATTAGCACAATGACTGGAAGTCTACATGAGGCAGCTAGCAATGGCTCCAGAAACTACCTTTTAACTTCCTTCAAACTGCACACAGAGACATACCATTTTTATCCATGAGTTCATCTGACTCTGGGTAAGAAGAAAAAAGGGCTTCATTGCTAAAATCTCAAACTATCCCTTTAAAGTACACATTTTGATCTCTGTTCAAGCCCTATCCCCCTCAATAACTTTTAACAAATGCTTACTCAGTGTTTACACTCTCTCTCCCCTCAGATACATTTAATCTCACTGACTTGAGAGTTGACGTTCTCTTCTTCCAACTGCTTTCAAAACTATTTTCATTCACTGGCTGTCTCTCTCCCTCCTCAGAAAGGGAAGCTACTATCTGGGACCTAGAGGAGAAGAACCTTCATGAGAAGCACCAGTTGCTGAAACAGCAGCTAAAAGACCAGTACTTCCTCCAACGGCACCAGCTGCTCAAGAAGCATGAGAAGGTACAGTAACCCTATCCGTGTGGCTGGGAAAGGAACCTACTGCAGTTATCGGGGTTAAACTTGTATGCCCAGCTAATATCCTCAAACAACCCCTTACCTTTGCGTAGTGTGTGTGCGCGCGCGTGTCCTCACCCTCATACATGACTGTCTCCCCAGGAGCAAGAGCAGATGCAGTGCTACAACCAGCGGATGATTGAGCTGCTGAAGGCCCGGCAGCAGCAGGAGAAGGGTCGCCTGCCTAAGATCCAGCGCAGCGAGGGCAAGACCCGCATGGTCATGTTCAAGAAGAGCCTCCGCATCAACTCCACTGGCAGCACCTCGGAGGACCGCGAGAAGATCAAACAGGTACCAGACAACTACAGAACGGCCTTGTTCGGGGGGGGGGGACTGGGTATAAATGGAGGAGAAAATCAAACGTAGTGTAGCCATGGGATGGAGGTTAGAGAGGCAATAAGATCAAATAGATGAGCACTGACGTCTCTTCAAAGGTATACTTACCTCAGGAAAAAGTGTGCGAGTGTTAGCTAGAAAATAGTAATATATCGTACTCGTATCGCAGAACTGTATCAGGCCTAAGTGGTGTGAACTCATCCTCATCTCTCTCCCTCTTGTGTGTGTGTGCCTCCCCAGTTTGCCCAGCAGGAGGACAAACGTCAGAAGGCTGAGCGGCTGCACCAGCAGCAGAAGCATGAGAACCAGATGAGGGACATGGTGGGCCAGTGTGAGGGCAACGTCAGGGAGCTCCAGCAACTACAGGTGACCTACTGTACACCACACTATTCACAGAGACAGAGAGAGATAATGTCCAGCTATATGTATCTTATTTGACCCTGGGTGTCAAAGCCTTGCACATCATTTTTGACCTGAGCATACCCACCTGCCTGAAAGCCTCACAGGAGAACCGATCTGCATTAGAATGCCTTAAAAGCCTCACAGGAGAACCGATCTGCATTAGAATGCCTGAAAGCCTCACAGGAGAACCGATCTGCATTAGAATGCCTGCATGAATGTGGCACAATGCCTAGAGAAGGTAGCATAATGTACAATAATAGGAAAATCCACATTCATTGGGTTTGTAAAGTAGGGAAATGCGTTCCACAAGTGCTGCATGAATAGGGTTATGTAATGACTGACTGTATTGTGATGTGGGAGCAGAATGAGAAGTGCCACCTGCTGATTGAGAACGAGACTCAGAGGCTGAAGTATCTGGATGAGCAGCACAACCACCAGCTCAAGGAGTGGAGGGAGCAGCTCATGCCCAGGAAAAAGGTACGCGGCCATACCGTTGACATTGAAAAGTTAACATTGGGTGTCATTTTCACTAGGTCTCAAAGCACTTTACATTTACATTGATGTCCATTACTGTTGTTGCCATTATTGTAAGATAAGATTGAAGTCCTACTCCATTATTATTTTCTCCTGATTTACTTAACAAAAGGCATAGCTCAATAAGTGGTCCAGGTATGACATGACATGGCACAACTCCTTGAATGGCCTTCTCCTTGAAGTTGGCAGTTGTGTAAAAAAAAAAAAAAAAAAAAATATCCAAATATTTTTGTACCCTTAAAGGGGCAATCTGCAGTTGCTACACCAATTTTTTGAATGATATGACTTAATTTATATCACACACACATGCACACTAGGGATGTAACGATTCGGTCCCCGATTCAAACGTTTAAGATACGACTGCATCGTTCCACGGACCCCAAACCGATCCAAATGTAGCATGTATCGGGATGAAAATCAATTCAAACAAATCGGCGACTCACTTTTTTTGTTGTTGCTCATATTGCTTTCTTTCTACCATCCGAAAATATCCTCTCCTTCAGTGTCGAACTAAGCATGTAACTGTGTTGACGGTCATCAATCTACAAGTCATTTTGCATGCCGAATAACCCCAGGGAATATCAGTAGCCTAGTCAAATTGCGCACTGTGCCCAGTTTTGCACACTCACCATCGCGAGGTAGGCATCCTGTTCTTGATCGTGCATATCTGCGCGGCACCTTCAGCATTGAAATGCTAAATGGCTTGAGCGATATTAGGCTTTTATTTGAGTGACAACCTATGTAATTTGCTAGGCTATTGCTATGCGCTGATGAAAATGGCCTTTTACCAGAATTAAAAGTAAGATACCGGAGACTCTCATAGGCTACCTGCTGAATGGCGCTTACAATATCTTGATTGTTCAGGTTCACCATCAGCAGTAGTTTTGGTAGTTTTCCTTTAACAATCAGTGTATATGGTCGTTTTTAGATACACAAAGATGCTAATTTCATAACTAGTACAGCAATCACTTTGCGAGGTGCAAAGCGGGAGGAGAAAGGAAGCTCAGTAAACTTCCAAACGGTCAAAACCATTACATTTTTTATTGGGGGTGTGGAATCCAAAGTTGTGCTATATATTCATTGGCGATGTCTTAGCTCATTTGTAAATGATAAATATTGATACATTACTAGCTCAAGCACTTAATCTGCAAAAATGACAAGTTAATTAGTGGGTGATGAACCAAAGTGGGGGGACAAAAAACAGGCTACATTGCCCCTTAATCTGATAATGGTAGTGGTGTGGTAGATGCCTAGTCTCCCTTATGGCTCAGCTCAAGTGCCTACATAGTATATCATTTACACACACACACACACATACATAATTTACACACACACACACACACACACACGTCAGCTCAGGCAGATCCAGCTCAGAGAGCCCCAGCTCATAAGCTCCATCAGCAGCAGATTTGAATTTAGAATGGAAAATGAATGTATTTTATGCAACAAATATTAGTAATATCGCTTCAAACTAAAACCCAAAATTATAAGCTTGTTTTACTTCAATGTTTGTAAACATTTAAAATGTAAACAAACACTTTCTAGTCTCAAAACATACTTGAAACTATAATTTTGATATCTTGGATGGTCAGTCCTGGCATCCATAGCTCTGTCTGTGAATTTGAGTGGTTACATTTCTCCAGGCCCATCCCCAAGCATTTTTCCAAAACAGAGGTGGGGAGTATACTTTGTTATTGTTTCAACTGCGGCTTGCCCCTTTTAAGTGTGTGTACATTACTGTATTTATACTTGGAATATTGTTTTTTTCAACAGAAAGTTCAAAATAGTTGGAGTGCGTTTAAAGTGAAGCTTATCTTTCTCTACCCATCTCTCCTTCTCTCTCACCCTCCCATCTCTCTTCTCTCTCCCTCCCCCCCTCTCTCCCAGGCTCTGGAAGAGGAGCTGACCCAGAGGAAGAGGGAACAGGAGGTGTTCTTTAAGTTGAGTGGGGACTCTGAGTGCCTGAGCCCCAGCTCCCCAAACAAACTCACAAAGTTCCTGCCTTACTCCGAGTCCTCTACCACGTAGACTGGCATCTCTCCCCCTCTACCCCCTCCAAACACCCTCTCTCCCTGTCAGGACCAATCCTACCCCCTTATCCCACACAATGCCCTGAAGGACCACTGCCAGCTGCTGCAGTCCTTCATTTTAAGGAATAGTTATGTTTTAAATCCTGTTTATAAGATTTTATAATTGTATTAACCCAAGATGGCAAAGCTTGGTCATATTTTCTTTGAGGATGTCTTTAAACTCCACATCAGGCTGCTTGATGGATAGGGTGTTCTTCATCCATGCAGTGTTTCCTTTTTCATTATTTGTTTTATTGCCTACAACACTGAATTGACTCAGATCCCCATTGGTTTATTGTGTACCCAATAAGCATGAGACTAACCTATAGTTAGTCCGAAGGGTGTGGGGGGGAGATGCATCCCATATCCCAAAGAGGGTCAGCTGAGGAGCAGTATTTCAGGTGCAATGTGGACAATAATAAAAAATGTACTAAAAACAATGCTGTGTTGTTGGGAGCCAATGAAAACACACTTTTGTGTCACCGCAATATCGGTCTTCTTCCAAAGAGTTTCTCGCGTAATGAACACACCCAAGTATGACGCAGATATATCTAGTTGCCAAATTATATTTCTTTTTTGACATTTGTTTATTACTTTACAAAGATCGGAGCAGAGCATGATCTTCAGAATTCACTTTTTTTTCTGTTGACACAGTGAATGAATGGAATTCCCACTGAAATCAGTTTTCAGCACTATTAACTTGGACTGTAAGTCGCTTTGAATAAAAGCGTCTGCTAAATGGCATATTGTATTATATATTATTAACTTTAAAATGCTGAAACTCTTCGATCAGATCATTTGTGGATCTAAATATCTGCTTAGTTTTACATTTTGATGAGATGAGCTTAAACATACTCAATGAAAACGGGAGAAGTCAGGGAAAGGTTATTGTCATCCAATTTATTTTCATTGTTTTTAATTCAAGGATTGAAGAAATTGATTATTCTTTAGTTGAGATTTAAAGTGTTAATGTCTCAATGTTTTTTCTGTGCTGCATTTTTACTGTAAAGGCGATACTAGCACACTGGATGGGAACTAACAAAGACAAAACGGAATACTGTCTTTGAAGGAATCTTAAGAGATATAGGTTTTACATTGAAGTGTATTGGGGTAATTTTCTATTGTTTATATTAAATGCACTGTCTGCTAATGAAAGTGCAATATGTAATTGTTCAGCTTGAAACTGATTTTTTTTTTTCCTCCACCAAATGTGCCTTTCTTTGCACTGAGAGGCGTATACTAAGTTATGAGGGAGTGCATCAGAGGTATTTTGCAGTTAATATGCATCCTGCTGTTTTGAAAATGGGGCTTGGTTTCTTGACCTGTTGGATCACGTGTCAAACTCATCTCACGGAGGCCCGAGTGTCTGTGGGTTTTCGCTCTTCCCTTGTACTTGATTGAAAAATGAAGGTCACTGATTAGTAAGCAACTCCCCATACCTGGTTGTCTAAGTCTTAATTGAAAGGAAAAGCCAGCAGACACTAGGCCCTCCATGGAATCAGTTTGACACTGCTGTGTTAGTTGACCAGATTACTGTAGATTATCAGGTACAGCTACTCTCTCAAGATGCATTTTTAATTAGTTTTTAAATGTTTTTCTCTCTTCTGTTGTCATTTGCAATGACTGTCTTTTCCTCTCTCTGTTTACCAATTTAAGTTTATTTGTAAGGGATGTGAGTGAATGTGACTGTTCAGCAGAAGGAACCACTGTTGTACATGAGTCTAATAAATGAAAATGTTCTGTCTACGCTTGTTCTCAAGTAAGGGATAGATTCTATAAGATCCGCGATAGCCGAAACCTGCATAATGGTTGATTTGGCGGCGTGAACTCTGTTAAACTGTCAAATCCAGGTGGCCTTCGGGCTTTATACCTAAAGCGGGCATTGCCGTTGGCTGCACGGAATTTCATTAGGAGAAATCCCATGTAGCCTTGTTTACTAGTTCGAACATTGGAATGTGATATGTAACTTACACATCGATAAGGCTGATAGAAATCCTCAATATGTTGATGAATGATTTTCAATTTGAGCGTCACTATTTCTATATAGCCTACACTTTCTCGTTCTGAACTTATAACACGAGTCGGACGGGTGTGGCTTCGTGATCATGATTACAAGAGCAGCTGCTCACCGATTTGACAGCCCCAATGCAGTTACACTGCCAAAACATCAATATGTGCATGTCGGCTATCAGCGGTTAACGCTTGATCTGATTGAATGGGATATTCTACTCCTAGGTTGCATCCGTTTCCTCAAAATAAAGGAACATTTCCAAAGAAAACCAAGACACATGTACATTTTAAAAAATGTTTATTGACTTAATATGAAAGAAAACCATGAGGGGAACAAGTATAAAGAATACATTACAGTACTAAGATGGGATATGCGCATATGTCAAAGAATAAAGAGCAGTTTCTATATAAACTCATTTTCAAATTCAATTGACCAGTTTTGGGTAAAGCATTACTTAAAGCAATAAGACAATCCATACTGTTTTAATGTAGTGTTCAAATCCCGGTGTGCCTCTCCTTATGCTTTAGTAACCAAACTGTAGAATGCATGTCTTTCCAACCCATACCCTAACCCAATCTAGGTTTCACTCACTTTCCACTAACAGTCAGGGCTTACATGAGTTGACACTGTGTAGTAAGATGGAAAACCCCAATGATTTCAACGTTGGTTAAGGGACCTAACACAGGGCATTGGACCTAGTACTTTAACATGAGAAGATTTTGGAGGGGGGAAAAACACAGTATCAAAGCAACTAGGAGCAGAATCAGATCAACCATATTCTGAGATTCTCCAATGAACCTGTGAGCTACAAGCACTCCCAGCCTTGTCAGTGCGTCTCCTAGGAGACCAACCCTCTTTCTCCGTGACCAGGGCCCAGTTTCCCAGAAGCATCTTAAGGCTAAGTTACTAAAGTTGCACTTAAACGCTTGTGAAGCCTATTTACCGACTGCCTCACACCACTCGAACAGCCAAGTGCGTCGTTACATGCTTTTTTGTCCTTCCGCGTGATTTTATACACAAAAGACCTTCGCTAAACATACAACCAATGGATGTTTATCCATCTCTCTGTGACCACCGATAACTTCAAATAGGCAACAAAGTTGGCAATGTCTTTGCAATTGTAACAAACAAGCGAAGGATAAAAATATGCTTCAAATGAAAACTAGATGACTATAAATAGGCGTATCCGCTACATTTGCCTTTCAATCATATTGCTCGCGTTCAATCTAGTTATATTTTGATAATTGTAGGCTGTCTTAGTTTTTCCTCTATATATTTAATGTGTAAGAACATTAACGCAATTATGTGCCAAATCTGTGATTTAGTGCATTATTAATGGTTAACCATTAGAATAAGCTGCCTCGATCTTTGCAGCCGTAGGTGATAATATCTCTCTAGGAGCTGATCCGTCGTCAGTATTGTGAAATAATTATGTTTAGGTAGATTTGAATGGAGAAAGCTGATCTGAGAGAAGCGCTGCCTTTCTTTCGATCCTAGCAGTATTGACGCACTTAATGAAAGTTCTCTCTACGTGGTGTTTTGGGAAACGCATGTTACATCTTCGGCTGTAGGAACAATGCATCGTTAAAACACTCGTAAACCTAAGTTCCATCTACGGGAAACCAGGCCCAGACCTAGCAAGAGGTGAAAAGTAAACAAAAAGAAAGTGACAGCTGACATTACTTCATTCTGGAAGTATGATAAAAATAACTATTTTGCTAAGTCTGCTTGAAACCAGTCAAACACTAATGTAAATGTTTTTCATAATGACCACACTTTATGTATTATATTTGAGCACCTTTTTATGAGATTCAGTAACGCTGTATTTTGTACTGTATTATTGAACAAATCACAGGTAAATTCCCTCTCATTTAGGGTCTGTATTGATAATGGTAGACCTACAGTTTATGAACTATTGTATTTACCAGAAGCAGCCTGATGTAACCTCTACTTGAATCAGTCATTCTTACTTACGTGTTCTCCACCTATTGTACTGTGAACACCAGGGAAAGGGTCCATTTCATTTCAATGAAGTCAATTCAGTCCATCCTGAAAGGAGTTGAACTGGAGTCCAACCCTGGTATACAATACAGCTCCCAAAGTCTTGCAGCAACCTTATTTGAGTGTTTAAAACATTGCTATGGCTTTCAATTGTACACTCTATATTTCCTCTCCATCGGTCTATTAAGCCAGGGGTTCACAAACTTTTTCACTCAACTTTTTCACTGGACATTTCTGATACATTTTAAATAGCTCTCTAAGGTATGCAATGACTGACATGACAAGAGGAAAATTGATGATGCACTTCCTAATTTCGAAATTGCACCTTGTGCATTCTACTATTACAACTTTCAAGAGTAAGTTGAAAGCTGTACTGAGTTCCTTTTGTGGTGGGGGGGACCCCTGCGCCCCCCCTACCCCACAGTTTGGGAATCCAGTGTGCAAACCTGAACAGGCTGAATAATCTGAAAAGTGCACATCTGCTAAAAATCAGCCGCAACATTATTATGCAGTTCCGAAAGGAAAATAAACCCATTCACAAACCTGAAAAGATCTGTATAAATGTTTAGTATTAGCACCTAGAATCACTTGTCAAAAACTCTTCTTGAAGTGTTAATATTTTAGTACTTGAAAGCCAAAATGTCCTCTTGAACTCCCCTTGTAACCTCCGTTGCAGCCTTAGTGGAGGAGGGGTGTTCTTTGAGGTATCTGAGTATACATGGCCTTCTGCCTTAGGCTGTTTGTCTTGTGAATGATCTCGGCCAGTATTCACAAAGCATCTCAGAGTAGGAGTGCTGATCTAGAATCAGGTACCCCTATCCATGTAATCTTATTCATTATGATCTAAAAGGCAAAACTGATCCTAAATCGGCACTCCTAGTCTGTCGTATGGTCTGATTTATTTTCCATATGCATTGCACTGTCCGGTAGGACTCCACTCATTAGACTGAAGCATCTTTGATATGCTAACTGAGAAACGAACTAGCTAAATATATTTAAGCTTAAAGCACTATACTGAGGCACAATATTATAGATGGCTTGGAAAGACATATGTTGTTGTTCTATTACAAAGCTTGTGATAACATACTGTATCATAACATTACATTATAGGCTTGTTGAGTAACACATGGCACAAAAGGTGAACAACATGAGAGGAACATTTGCTTGTTCCGGATTTGACGCTTAGTAATTGGTAACGAGGATAGAAAGTACAAAAAAAGAGAACGAAAACGAAACAATATGCAACAAAAACATTGCTGGTTCATTCTCGCACGAATGCTAAACAAATGGAATGTAACAAAGCAACAAACACACCTCAATTAAAAAGGTACCTATAAATAAAAAAAGCTAATTAAATACAATGAGTAATATTTTGTATTATTAAACAGGCCAGCAGAACCTGGTACCTAGGGTTTCTTGGTCAGGTAATTGGAGGGGATCCAGCCCTCTTTCATTGGCCCTTCTCCTAGATTTTTACAAAACCACCAGCCGCTGCTGTTCCTCTCCATCACCTCGAACACGGTGCCCTCCTTGAAGCCACCCATCTGATCGTCGCCCTCAAAGTCCGCCATGGCCAAGAACAGCTCCTCTTTACTGGGATCCTTGATCAGAGGCGGCAGCTTGTCCCTCGGAGGGCCTGGTTTCTCAATCTTAACCAGGGGCTTTGGGGCCACGGGCACTTTTGCCTTGGGCTCCCCCTTTTCCTTGTCCTTGTCTTTAGGCGGGGGCAGCATGAAGGCCTTGGGTTTAGGGGGAGGTGGTCTGCTGAGCTGGGGGGGAGCAGGCTTGGTGTCTGGGAGCTCTTTCATGGGAGCTTTGGTTTCTGTGGGGCTGGATGGCTCAGAGGTCTTTTTGGGTGGAGGGGGTCGCTTAGGGAGGACGGCTGGCTTCCCTGGAGGTTCTTTGTGGGGGGGAACAGCGGGTTTGGGGACATCCTGGCTCACGTGTCCATGACCGTTTTGCTGCTTGGTGGGGAACTTGGCCTCGTCGCTGGCCTTGCCATTGAGAGCATTGGGGGCTGGGGGCATCTTGGGGAGGGCGTTGATAGGGGGGCTGTTGGGACGTGGCATGTTTGGGAGAACATTATTAGGAGGGGGCATCTTGGGGGGTACATTACTAGGAGGCATCTTGGGTAAAGCATTATTAGGGGGGAGGTTGGGGGGCGGCATCTTGGGGAGAGCGTTGCTAGGGCCGTTGTTGGGAGCAGTGCCGTTTTGCTGGCTTGGCTCTGCTGATCCATCGCCTGGTTCAGCTGGCTTCGAAGGCTTCAGCTTGCTCCTCAGGTTGGTGATATCCAGCTTGTTCTCAGCTGGCGGTTCTGGCTTGGCAGCTGGGATGGGTTTGGGCCGGACTACGGGTTTGGGCTTCATGAACAGTGCAGGGCCGCTGGCCTCTGATTTCTCCTCCGGTGGATCAGGCATGTTCTTGGGCGGATGCTTAGCCACGGGTTTCAGGTTGAACTTCTTCACCTCCTTGACGGAGACCTTGTGGCCACACTCCAGACCCATCTCATTCTTCAAATGCAGAGGCTTGTTCGTGATCTCTCTTTTGGGCTCAGGGGGCTTGTCTGGCTTGAAGGGGGCAGCTTTGGGGGTGAGCAGGGGCATAATGACCCCCGGGGCAGAGGTTTTCGGAGGCAGGGGTTTGGATACGTCTGGCCTGGGTTTCTCCACAATCTCAATGTCCATGCTCTTGTTGATGGACTCCCTGCGGGGTGGCAGGGCTGGCCTCTCCTCAGCCGGTGGGGCAGACGGGGCTGGGGGCAGGGGTCCGGAGAAGGCAGATGCCCCCTTACTGGCGCTGGACTTCCAGTCCCTGAGCTTGGGCCGGGCTGCAGACTCGCTGCTCGCGGTGGGCTCGTCTGGCAGCGGTTTGGACCAGCTGTCCTCTTGCGCCGCACCGCTGGTAGTGCCATCCTCCAGCTTCAGCTGGGCCATCTCATTGGGCAGAGGTACAAGGAAGTTGGGGCGCGGGGTCAAGCTGGTCTTCTTATATTTGTCGATGAAGGTGATGGGGGCCCAGCCCTCTTTGTCTTCAATCTGAATGTACCACCAGCCACTGGAGTTTTTCTCTATCACCTGAAAAACAGAAAGGGAATGAGTGAGTCATTCAAGGAATCAGGAATCAATACACAGCAGAAGTTGTGATCAGTCAGTGCATTTTGCAGGGAAGCAGTTAAAATGCCATTCTATTCAATCAAAAAACGGTTCTCTAGGTGGGATTTGGTAGGCTGTTCACCATCAAACAATAACCATCTACCAATGTGTGATGAGATGTGACGAGTGTCTCACCTCCACTTTGACCCCAGCCTGGAAGCTGATGCCATCGGGGATGGTGGTCTGGAAGTCTGCGATGGTATAGAACTCTTCCTCCACCTGGGGAGGGGTGGGCGGCTTTGGCAGGTTCTGCCCCCTCGGCTAGAGGGAGGGAGGGTGTGAAGAAAGAGAGAGTAGGTCAGTATCAGGTTTGCCTTGTGGCAGGTCAACACATCAAAACAATGCAAAACTAATTTAGTCATATCTTTGTTAATGAGTGCTGATGGAGTCTCAGGATGTGTGGTTAAGTGGTTGGAGCAGGGTACTTACGATGGTGAGATCCCTGCGCGGCGGTGGTCTCTGTCTAGCCCCTTGTTCTGTAGGGGAAAAGGCAGATTAAACCTTATCACAGCACAGCCCATCAGTCTCAAAACACTGCCTGCATTGACATCAATAGGAGGAGATATTAGTTCCAGACAGAGAGAGAAACAAAGGGCTCTATTCAATCTGTAAAGCTGAAGCATTACAGATTCCGAGATTTAAAGGTCATTTCTGATTGCGCCGACATAAGCAGCATTTACCGTGAATGCAGTCTCCGCTAAAGTGGGAACATTGCCTTTAAATTTCAACCACGCTGTAAAGCTGAACTTCTGCGATACAGATTGAATAGAGCCGAAAGAGAGCGAGAGATTACCCACTGAGCACACCACGCCATTTCAACGTGGACATTTGGGTACTATTTGGTTGAGGTGTTGATCTATGACATTTCAACCTTTTATTCAGCAACTCATAAAGACAGCCAGAAGTTTGTTGAATGTGTTATCACTATGCTTTCAACCATCTAAAAACACAACCAAATTACAAAGGAAAAACAATCAGATTATCTTTTTGGTTTAGTTGTACTCTAAATGTGTAATCACTAGAGCTGTGATGGTCATAAAATTTGGATGACGTTAAGTGGCCAGCCAAATGACCGTGGGTTTCCGTAATAACCGTTCGAATAGCAAAAAAACAAACAATATTAGGCACACATTTTCTCCTGACTGCATGTGCTGCCATAGAAATAGAATGAATAGAACGGGTGTCCCCATTTAAGTCAATGATTGCATAATGGGTGGCCATTGTGAGTGTACCCATAGCAAAGATTATCTTGTCAATATAATAATAGACAGTCAAGTGACCGCTCTAACAACAGAAATACATGTTCTCAAAGATGGAAGGCAGGCGGGAGGAGGTGAGATCAGGTGGGGAACATTCTAGCCAATGAGAGGGCAGATACGAGTGTGAACAACAGGCCATAGAGATAGATAGAGGACTTATTATTGGGTGCGTTTGTAAATTGCCTCCAGTGTGTCAGAGTGCGCTCTGGGTCGTTTGTAAATTCAGAGCGTTTCGCTCTCGGAGCGTTCAGAGCGCACACTGGACTGTGCACCTGGCAACAATTGAATTACGTTTTCTTGCGACAACGGTCATATTCAATGGGTGTTGCATATTTGTAAATTCATCAGTTATTCTGCGCTCTGGCACACTCAGACGAGAGTGCTCTGAAATTGGAGTAGATAGCCAGAGTGAGTTTACGAACGCACCCTTTGTGTCAGTGCCATTATAACGTCTATGACAGCATGGGCAGTGCCATTGCGGCCATCTCTATGTTAAAGTAGTCCATTTTCTTTTTTATCATTGGCTGATTGCTCTCAACTCATAGGAATCCCCAGCAGTTGACTACTTTAAAATGGTGGAAGCATCCAATGGCAATGTCCATGCAAAAACAAGTTACATCCATGATGAGTCCTCTATCTATCTCTATGACAACAGCGATATAAAGTTGTTTTTTCAAAGTTGCCGAAATGCCATGTGCGTCCACTTATATCAGTTCATTCGTAACAACCTAACCATTACGAAACTTCTATTCGATCAAATAAGCCTCACGTAGCAAATTAGCAATTCAATTATTTGTTGACACTTTCTCATTGACCTCAATACAAAAAACATATTTCTGTGGACAGATTTTGGGCTGAGTACAACTTCTTGCTTTGCCTCTTCCTCTCTGCCCACAGGCGCAAAGCAGGAAGTAAAAGCAGGACGTGTACCCATCAATATGTGCTGTGATTTGTTGATTCAACTCAACTGACATTACAAAAAAGACATTCCATTGCATGAGCCACATTTAGTTAACATCATTTGAATGAACATTCTACATTACCATGGAATTTATTGCATCACAATACCAGGCAGTTTACCAATCAAATTGCCAGGGTTAGAGGTTCCAAGCCCATTCTATTCATCGTTTGCTCCAAAACCTTGCTTGTTTCAGCAAGGGGAAACAAAGTTTCATTACGTTGTTAAAAGTCCATGTTATAGCAGAAACACACAAATGCCCGGCCGTCCTGTCTTCAGTCAGCTGTTCATTCCATATTTGTTTTAGGCGGTTATGACGGTTATTTTATATTCATGACTGTCTTCATCCATAACCGGTAATTGTGTCAGCCCTAGTTACAGTGGGGGAAAAAAGTATTTAGTCAGCCACCAATTGTGCAAGTTCTCCCACTTAAAAAGATGAGAGAGGCCTGTAATTTTCATCATAGGTACACGTCAACTATGACAGACAAATTGAGATTTTTTTTCTCCAGAAAATCACATTGTAGGATTTTTAATGAATTTATTTGCAAATTATGGTGGAAAATAAGTATTTGGTCACCTACAAACAAGCAAGATTTCTGGCTCTCACAGACCTGTAACTTCAACTTCTTCTATAAGAGGCTCCTCTGCCCTCCACTCGTTACCTGTATTAATGGCACCTGTTTGAACTTGTTATCAGTATAAAAGACACCTGTCCACAACCTCAAACAGTCACACTCCAAACTCCACTATGGCCAAGACCAAAGAGCGGTCAAAGGACACCAGAAACAAAATTGTAGACCTGCACCAGGCTGGGAAGACTGAATCTGCAATAGGTAAGCAGCTTGGTTTGAAGAAATCAACTGTGGGAGCAATTATTAGGAAATGGAAGATATACAAGACCACTGATAATCTCCCTCGATCTGGGGCTCCACGCAAGATCTCACCCCGTGGGGTCAAAATGATCACAAGAACGGTGAGCAAAAATCCCAGAACCACACGGGGGGACCTAGTGAATGACCTGCAGAGAGCTGGGACCAAAGTAACAAAGCCTACCATCAGTAACACACTACGCCGCCAGGGACTCAAATCCTGCAGTGCCAGACGTGTCCCCCTGCTTAAGCCAGTACATGTCCAGGCCCGTCTGAAGTTTGCTAGAGTGCATTTGGATGATCCAGAAGAGGATTGGGAGAATGTCATATGGTCAGATGAAACCAAAATAGAACTTTTTGGTAAAAACTCAACTCGTCGTGTTTGGAGGACAAAGAATGCTGAGTTGCATCCAAAGAACACCATACCTACTGTGAAGCATGGTGGTGGAAACATCATGCTTTGGGGCTGTTTTTCTGCAAAGGGACCAGGACGACTGATCCGTGTAAAGGAAAGAATGAATGGGGCCATGTATCGTGAGATTTTGAGTGAAAACCTCCTTCCATCAGCAAGGGCATTGAAGATGAAACGTGGCTGGGTCTTTCAGCATGACAATGATCACAAACACACCACCCGGGCAACGAAGGAGTGGCTTCGTAAGAAGCATTTCAAGGTCCTGGAGTGGCCTAGCCAGTCTCCAGATCTCAACCCCATAGAAAATCTTTGGAGGGAGTTGAAAGTCCGTGTTGCCCAGCGACAGCCCCAAAACATCACTGCTCTAGAGGAGATCTGCATGGAGGAATGGGCCAAAATACCAGCAACAGTGTGTGAAAACCTTGTGAAGACTTACAGAAAACGTTTGACCTGTGTCATTGCCAACAAATGGTATATAACAAAGTATTGAGAAACTTTTGTTATTGACCAAATACTTATTTTCCACCATAATTTTTAATAAATTCATAAAAAATCCTACAATGTGATTTTCTGGATTTTTTTTTCTCATGTTGTCTGTCATAGTTGACGTGTACCTATGATGAAAATTACAGGCCTCTCTCATCTTTTTAAGTGGGAGAACTTACACAATTGGTGGCTGACTAAATACTTTTTTCCCCCACTGTATCTCTGCTCTTTCAACCATTTAAAAGCACAACAAAGTTCAAATGGGAATACAATGTCAGATATTTTGTTTATTTATACAACAGATAAATGTGTTGTCACTGTGTTTCATCTAATAGCACAACCACATGATCTGGATTGCAGTTGAGATTCCAATAAAAGTACATAGTGCAAGTGATCAATGCTGTTCGAGATTCTGCACAGATTATTACAGCAATTGTGAAGATCTCTACAGACCTGCGACCTTTGCATGCTCTTGAAAATGCACACTTTCTATGATTACATATAAAGATATTTATAGTTACAGTAATCTCAAAATGTGGCCAAGTGTGTGTTACTCATTTTAAAGTTGAATACATACTGGTACATTAGTTTCTAAGAGCCTTAACTTTAGGCTATTAACTGTATTACAAAGTAATATTGAATTGTGTTTGGTTGACAACACAACCAAATATCAACATTTAAAGGAGATGTAAAGCACAATAAAAATCCAATGGAAAAACGATATCAGATTGTTTTTTTTGGGGGGGGGGGGGTTGTTCGCATCTAAATGTGTTATTACGTTTTCAGAGATAGTCAAACTTTATTTGATTTGATTTAGTCCTATTCTTAAACTTTGATATTTGGTTGAGATGGAGATGTGAATCCAACATATCAATTATTAATTTGTAGGCAAACTGGAATTAAAGCCAGACTAAGTCAGTGGCACAGATGGAACTATCCAAGCAGAAGATACATCTCCTTCAAATGTTGATATTTGGTTGCGTAAACAATTCAATATCCAGGTTGTCTACAAATTAATAATTGATATGTTGGATTAACGTCTCTAACTCAACCAAAAATAAAAGTTAAAGAATAGGACTAAATCAAGTCAAATCAAACTTTAAATGCACTTAAATTAAGTTTGATTTGATTTAGTCCTTTTCTTTAACTTTGACTTTTGGTTAAGATGGATGTGAATCCAACATATTAATTATTAACTTGTAGATTAAATTTGAATTCAACCAAAGCTTGAAACCCTAGACCTACAGTGCCTTAAAGTATTCATACCCCTTGACTTAGTCCACATTTTGTTGTGTTACAGCCTGAATTCTATACTGAACACAAATATAAATGCAACATGCAAAATGTTCAAAGATTTTACTGAGTTAAAGTTCATATAAGGAAATAAGTCAATTTAAATAAATTCATTAGGCCCTAATCTATGGATTTCACATGACTGGAAATACATAAATGCATCTCTTGGTCACAGATACCTTTAAAAAAAGGTAGGGGTGTGGATCAGAAAACCAGTCACTATATGGTATGACCACCATTTGCCTCATGCAGAGCGACACATCACCTTCGCATAGAGTTGATCAGGCTGTGGAATGTTGTCCCACTCGTCTTCAATGGCTGTACGAAGTAGCTGAATATTATCGGGAACTGGAACACACTGTCATACACGTTGATCTAGAGAATCCCAAACATGCTCAAAGGATGACACGTCTGGTGAGTATGCAGGCCATGGAAGAACAGGGATATTTTCAGCTTCCTGGAACTGTGTACAGATCCTTGCGACATGGGGACGTGCATTACCATGCTGAAACATGAGGTGATGGCGGCGGATGAATGGCACGACAATGGGCCTTAGGATCTTGTCACGGTATCTCTGTGCATTCAAATTGCCATTGATAAAATGCAATTGTGTTCGTTGTCCATAGTTTATGCCTGCCCCTACCATAACCCCACCGCCACCATGGGGCACTCTGTTCATAACGTTGACATCAGCAAACCGGTCGCCCACACGATGCCATACACGTGGTCAGCGGTTGTGAGGCCGGTTGGGTGTACTGCCAAATTCTCTAGAACGACATTGGAGGTGGCTTATGGTAGAGAAATGAACATTAAATTGTCTGGCAACAGCTCTGGTAGACATTCCTGCAGTCAGCATGCCAATTGCATGCTCCCTCAAAACTTGAGACATCTGTCGCATTGTGTTGTGTGACAATAGCACATTTTAGGGTGGCCTTTTATTGTCCCTAGCACAAGGTGCACCTGTGTAATGATCATGCTGTTTAATCAGCTTCTTGATATGCCACACCTGTCTGGTGGATGGATTATCTTGGCAAAGGAGAAATGCTCACTAACAGGGATGCACGACATTTTTTGATAAATAAGCTTTTTGTGTGTATGGAACATTTCTGGGATATTTTATTTCAGCTCATAAAACATGGGACCAACATTTACATGTTGTGTTTATATTTTTGTTCAGTATAAATACAGTGCAGTCGGAAAGCATTCAGACCCCTTCCCTTTTTCCAAATTTTGTTACGTTACAGCCTTATTCTAAAATGGATTGAATAAATAGAAAATCCTTATCAATCTAAACACAATACCCCAGAATTACAAATTTTTGCAAATTTATAAAAAATAAAAAACAGAAATACCTTATCTACATAAGTATTCAGACCATTTGCTATGAGAATCGAAATTGAGCTCAGGTGTATCCTGTTTCCATTGATCATCCTTGAGATGTTTCTACAACTTGATTGGAGTCCACCTGTGGTAAATTCATTTGATTGGACACGATTTGGAAAGGCACACACCTGTCTGTATAAGGTCCCATGGTTGACAGTATATGTCAGAGCAAAAACCAAGCCATGAGATCGAAGGAATTGTCTGTAGAGCTCCGAGACAGGATTGTGTCGAGGCACAGATCTGGGGAAGGGTACCAAAACATTTATGCAGCATTGATGGTCCCCAAGAACAGAGTAGCCTCCATCATTCTTAAATGGAAGAAGTTTGCAACCACCAAGACGCTTCCTAGAACTGGCCGCCCGGCCAAACTGAGCAATCGAGGGAGAAGGGCCTTGGTCAGGGAGGTGAACAAGAACCCGATGGTCACTCTGACAGAGCTCCAGAGTTCCTCTGTGGAGATGGGAGAACCTTAAAGAAGGACAACCATCTCTGCAGCACTCCACAAATCAGGCCTTTATGGTAGAGTGGCCAGACAGAAGCCACTCCTCAGTAAAAGGCACGACAGCCCGCTTGGAGTTTGCCAAAAGGCACCTAAAGGACTCTCAGACCATGAGAAACAAGATTCTCTGGTCTGATGAAACCAAGATTGAACTATTTGGCCTGAATGCCAAGAATCACATCTGGAGGAAACCTGGCACCATACCTATGGTGAAGCATGGTGGTGGCAGCATCATGATGTGGGGATGTTTTTCTGCGGCAGGGACTAGGAGACTAGTCAGGATCGAGAGAAAGATGAAGGGAGCAAAGTATAGAGAGATCCTTGATGAAAACCTACTCCAGAGCGCTCAGGACCTCAGACTGTGGCGAAGGTTCACCTTCCAACAGGACGACGATCCTAAGCACACAGCCAAGACAACACAGGACTGGCTACGGGACAAGTCTAGAAATGTTTGCAAATTTATTGAAAATGAAATACAGAAATATCTAATTTACATAAGTATTCAGTGTCAATACATGTTAGAATCACATTTGGCAACGATTACAGCTGTGAGTCTTTCTGGGTAAGTCTCTAAGAGCTTTGCAAACCTGGATTGTACAATACTTGCATTATTATTTTAAAAAATCTTCAAGCTCTGTCAAGTTATTTGTTGATCATTGCTAGACAGCAATTTTCTTGCCATAGATTTTCAAGCCGATTTACTGTAAGTCAAAACTGTAATTAGGCCACTCAGGAACATTCAATTTAGTCTTGGTAAGCAACTCCAGTGTATATATGGCTTTGTGTTTTAGGTTATTGTCCTGCTGAAAGGTGAATTTTTCTCCCGATGTCTGTTAGAAAGCAGACTTAACCATGTTTTCCTCTAGGATTTTGCCTGTGCTTAGCTCTATTCCGTTTCTTTCCCTAGTTCTTGACGATGACAAGCATACCCATAACATGATGCAGCCACCACCATGCTTGAAAAGAGTGGTACTCAGTGTTGTGTTGTTTTGGATTTGCCCCAAACATAAAACTTTATATTCAGGACATACATTTTAATTGTTGGCATGGTGAAATCCCTGAGCGGTTTCCTTCCTCTCCGGCAACTGAGTTAGGAAGGACGCCTGTATCTTTGTAGTGACTGGGTGTATTGATACACCATCCAAAGTGTAATTAATAACAACTTCACCATGCTCAAGGGGATACTCTATGTCTGCTTTTTTTTCTACCAACAGAGGTGCCCTTCTTTGCGAGGCATTGGAAAACCTCCATGGTCTTTGTAGTTGAATCTGTGTTTGAAATTCACTGTGACTGAGGTACCTTACAGATAATTGTATGTGTGAGGTACAGAGATGAAGTAGTCATTAAACACTATTATTGCACACAGTGAGTCCATGTAACTTATTATGTGATTTCTTAAGCAAAGTTTTACTCCTGAACTTTATTTAGGCTTGCCATTACAAAGGATACTTATTCACTTAAGACATTTCAGCTTTGCCTTTTTTATTAATTTGTAAACATTTCAAAAAACATAATTCCACTTCGATATTATGGGGTATTGTGTGTAGGCCAGTGTCACAAAATCTCTATTTAATCCATTTTAAATTCAGGCTCTAACACAACAAAATGTGGAAAAAGTCAAGGGGTGTGAATAGTTTCTGAATGCACTATATATGTATTGTATATTTTCAGTTGAACCCTGGGTTGAATTGAAACAAAAGCTGTTGATGACTTCGCAAATGCTATATAGACTTAAATAGCATAATTGATGATATATGACTACACTTGTTACATTTAATTTGCTCTGTTAAACCTACCCTTTGGAAGGACTTTGATAGCAACACTGAATCTATTTAGTTATTAAGTGGAGATCTCTCAATCATTCTCACGATAGCACATTGGAAGTAGTCAGTGACAAATAACAAATCTAAGCAGGGCTGGGCTTTGTTAAAATCCTGGATGAGAGACCAAAGGAACAGCTGTAGATAGATTAACGCTCCAGTAGGAGGTGCCGCCCAGCCTATTGTTTTTTTATTATAGTGGATATAATGTTGAAAATCAAAGGAAAACATTTAACATATTTTATACAAGGTTTGTCTATGTTGAAAAATGGTTACCATGATGACATAATCCTGTGCTTAAAATGTCACCCTCAGAAAAACAGTTCATTACTTTTTGCAAATCCAATGTAGATTCCACGTCACAATACGTTGACAAATTACATTGAAACAACATTGGTTCAACCAGTTTGTGCCCAGTGGACAGAGAGCCAGAGACCAGGGAGAGAGAGAGACCAGAGAGCGAGCGAGTCCATAGAAAGAGAGCGAGAGAGAGAAAGAAGGAGAGAGAGAGCACTGTGTTCGATGCAGACTAATTAACTCCGGAGTCTGGGGCCTTCGGCTCTAACTCAATGTGTAATGCATCCTCACTAATGGAAGTGTAGTTGTGGAAAGCATTCAGCTCCTCAATTACTTACACACTGTAGGAATAAAAGGGGGATGTTTTACATTACTCAGGCATTGATTTAGAGAGCCTCGCAGAGAAACCACTCTGAGGAAGGATAAACTGAGGAAGCATCCCTCATACAGATGGGAAGTCTTGGTAACACTTTACTTAAGCCTGCATGTATAATGCTTTATTATATCTTATAGGCTTTATAATGTATTTTAATAATGCCTACCTGCAGGCTTTAAGTAGAGAGTTACAGTTGTTAGTTAGTTGTTAAACTAGTTACAGTTGTTTACATTTCCTAGTTCCCACTCACTGTGCTGCTTGGCTTGGTTCTGTTGACTCTGCTGCTTGGAGAATCCGTCCAGGTCGTTAGTGCTGGCATGGCCCGCTGCCCCTGCCGCCAGCTTCTGGCTCAGGATGTCGGCCTTCTTCAAGTAGGACGCCGGGGCCCAGCCCTCCTGTCCCTGGTACCTGTAGATGCCAGCAGAGAGGTTACGTTCACAGCTTCATTAGAGAAAAAAACACCAACAACAATAACAAAGGACTTATTTAGTACAAACAAGCAACCAACTCTGACCCACGCATTCATACACTCAATCAAATTCACATGCACACAGAGCCTACATGCATTCACTGTGTACAGACACACTTCTGGGGTATTGTGTTTTACCTGATCTTCCACCAGCCCTCAAGGTTCTTCTGGATGACCTCCACCGTCATGCCACTTTCCAGGTCGATCTCGTCTTGGTCTCGCGCTGCGTACGGGTAAATCACTGTGTACTTCTCCTCTGGAAATGGCAAAGAATACATGACATTAGGTGATGTATTTTTTATCTTGCATACTTACTATTAAAAGAACGTCAATCAAGCGGATGGAGTGAACAACTTGGCAGGGACAGCACATTATGTAGCAATGCACATGCCCTGCCTACCTGAGGATCTGTCTATTTCCTGTGTTCGAGGGGTGCAAAATCCACTTGTCACTTAAATCTTGCTGGATTAATTGCTTTCATTTTACTCATGCGACTCTTTCATACTCTTGCTTGTGCCTGTCGTTTTTTTCCCGTTAATATTACGACAGCGGAAATGTTTGTAATGACCTGTCAAACACACCCCGGTAATAGCTGAAATTGGCTCAATGGAATACATTGTCTTTCCAATGCATTTATAAGAACGCTAAAGCTTCGTCAGGGATTTAATGCATCGTCTTGACATCACAACAAAGATAACTTTATTTTGATGGGTGTTCATTTTTGGTGGAATTTAAAAAGGAATAATGTAATACAGTTTAAATGTTTACAAATTAGATGCACTGAAATGAAAGCAACTTCTGAAAATGAACACTCAAATTAAAAAAAAACTAATTCAGTAGAAGAAATGTGCAGATGCAAACTTTGGTAACAGATTACGGTAAAATCTCCCTCAGGTTTTTATGCGAACACGTTTTCTTAAATATCTTCTCCAAATTACGATTCAAAGATGTCTGCAGAAAGAATGGGGTGTCAGCTATGACATGGCACCTTGAGTTTGCAAAAAAATATATTTGGGTTTTTGAACTACAGTAAGTGAAGTGGATTTACACCTGGTAACGGAATTACAGTAACAGAATTACATCATGGGTCCCTGATCTGTACTACACAGAAATGCATAATTATGGATATGAATGTCATTCTCCTCATGTTTCACAAGTTTGGACATCACAGCACAGTAGAGTACAGTACAGTGCAATACAATACAGCAGAGCAGAGTAAAGTGCAGTACAGTAAAGTAGTGTATAGTTCAGTACAGTAGAGTACAGTACAATATACTGTACTGTACAATACGCTATTTTTCTTTACTGTACTACTGTATTGTATTGTACTCTACTGTGCTATATTCACTGTACAGTACTGTACTCAGTACTCAGTACTGTCCTGCACTGTGCTATCCAAACTTGTAAAACGTGTCTATGATAGGTTCAGATTTGGTCCAGTCCGGTCCGTCTGTGGACGTTAACATCAAGGCCAGGGTAGACTGACCAAATTTCAACTACTTTTCAACGTCCATGGACGTCCAGTGTCGGTAGGCGCTCAGTGGGTGAGGAAGCTGGTTACAGTAAATGGAAAGAGGTGATATTAATTGGAGAGAGGGAGGGGTATTCCAGACTCAGGCAGTTTTAACACTCTTTTATTTTTATTTATTTTTATTTTGGGGGGGGGGCTAGATCAGCTTAATATTGCAGATAGATTGTAACTTCCATCAATGTAATTGTCTGCATCATTTCTAATCCCCCATGTTTTATATATATATATACTCCCCTTTATTACTTTTCAACCCCGCCATCCTTTCCCTACTTGGGGTAAATTAGTGAACAACAATGCTTAGGCCTCTACTTCCAGTTTATACTTACTATCTACATTTTATGGACACAGTCAATTTTACAATAATTCTATTTTATTTGTTTTTGCTCCTGAACTTCTTCTACTCTCAATCTCTCCGATCATTTTCATGATGTCCATCCGGTTTGCTTCTATATGCCATATCTTTCTAACTGTGCTCTTTCCCAAAAGCTCCCAACATACATCATATATACTTATTATGGACACAGTATGCTTACATTATTAGTTATCTTGTTTTTATTTGTTGTTATTTGTTATTAGTCCCAACTCCAGTTTTAACACTCTTGGTTTGACCACCAAACAACGGAAAGACAAAAAAAACAGTTATGAGCTTAACATTACAGTATGACAGTGGAAGGGAGGACAATAACAGGTGACCCAACTGTGGTTTGTGACTATTATGATTTCCCATTGTAGCCAATTCAGTTGCAGTAATTCCGTTACAGATTTTTTTGTAATTCCGCTAACAACTTGGTAACGGAATTACAAGTTATAATCACTTCATAATTCATAAACAAAATGTACATCAGTAAAATCACTATAACTAATTGCTAGGTCTACCAATACTTGTTACTTCTGTGAACTTTCATTATGCTCCCTCCTCACGAGGGAGAGGAATGAGGAAATATCTTAAAGATACACTATATATACAAAAGTATGTCGACACACCTTCAAATGAGTGGATTTGGCTATTTCAGCCACACCCGTTGCTGACAGGTGTATACAATTTAGCACACCGCCGTGCAATCTCCATAGACAAACATTGGGAGTAGAATGTCCTTACTGAAGAGTTCAGTGACTTTCAATGTCATAGATTGCCACCTTTCCAACAAGTCAGTTCGTCAAATTTCTGCCCTGCTAGAGCTGCCACGGTCAACTGTAAGTGCTGTTATTGTGAAGTGGAAACGTCTAGGAGCAACAACGGCTCAGCTGCGAAGTGGTAGGCCATACAAGCTCACAGAATGGGACCGGCGAGTGCTGAAGCGCGTAGCGCGTAAAAATCATCTGTACTCGGTTGCAACATTCATTACCGAGTTCGAAACTGCCTCTGGAAGCAACGTCAGCACAATAATTGTTTGTCAGGAGCTTCATGAAATCGGTTTCCATGGCCGAGCAGCAGCACACAAGCATCAGATCACCATGCGCAATGCCAAGGGACGGCTGGAGTGATGTAAAGCTCATCGCCATTGGACTCTGAGCAGTGGAAATGATGAATCACGCTTCACCATCTGGCAGTCCGACGGACAAATCTGGGTTTGGCGGATGCCAGGAGAACGCTACCTGCCCAAATGCATAGTGCCAACTGTAAAGTTTGGTGGAGGAGGAATAATTGTCTGGGGCTGTTTTTCATGGTTCGGGCTAGGCCCCTTAGTTCCAGTGAAGGGAAATCTTAACGCTACAGCATACAATCACATTCTAGACAATTATGTGCTTCCAACTTCGTGGCAACAGTTTGGGGAAGGCCCTTTCCTGTTTCAGCATGACAATGCACACGTGCACAAAGCGAGGTCCATACATAAATGGTTTGTCGAGATCGGTGTGGAAGAACTTGACTGGCCTGCACAGAGCCCTGACCTCAACCCCATCGAACAACTTTGGGATGAATTGTAACGCCGACTACGAGCCAGGCCTAATTGCCCAACATAGCAGCAAAGGGGGGACCAACTCCATATTAATGCCCATGATTTTGGAATGAGATGTTCGATGAGCAGGTGTCCACATATTTTTGGTAATGTAGTGTATGTGGGTTTTTGGTAACAGAATTACAAGGCACTAGGCAATATTTCTTAAACTTACAGAAGGTAAACAATTTCTCCAAAGCTAAATATAAAAGTGTTGATATTAGTTGGCAGGGGTCTTTTTCAACATCATTGTGTATTGCTGATACCTTTTTAAGACTTTTTCTGGTAGATGTTTTCTAAGATTCCTTTTCCATCTGTTTATTCAGAAATCAGAAAGCCTTTCCTTATACCTACTGTTTAAGATGGAAAATGGTTCAAATGTATCTATGCCTCCGTTTCCCATAAATACGGACTCTTAGCTTTCATTTCACACCCAATTTGAACTTCACATGTTGGTGCTCATGGGTCCTTTTCGATGGAAATGCCCGTCGCTAGCACCTACTTGTAATAGATTATGTTTTTATAACTAATCCATAACAGGTCCATTTTAGGTCTACTGAATTAAAGTGATTGTTACAAAAATATTATATTTAGAAAGAACAAACAACCTAAAATATGTGATATTTCACTGAAATAACAGTAAAAGTGAGAAAAAAAGTGAGTTTTTCGCCACTGCATGCCATCGAGAGAACAAATCATACAAACATATAGGTAGCATCCATTACAATCCATTTCACACATGCATGTCTTGCCTCACTCTTTGGCTTGGGTTGGTCATGCATTAGTTTTTCATGCTAAACATTACATTCTACACACAGATGGAGAAAAGGGAGAAGAGAGGCGTGCGCTCCACCTTGCCCAAAGCCTGTGCTGAACAGATCCCCTAACGTTCGCCGGCGGCCCACATGGCTCGGCAGTGACCAGTATCTCCGGGACACTGACAGCAGAGCACAGTGGGCAGCAGGAAGTAAGTAAAGAGGAAGTAAATACTTTGGTTTGTGTTTGCTTGGTTCCATAGAAAATGATAGAGGACTCTTCATTGAATCTGTCCCATTATGGCCTCTGTGAGCGCACTGGCATCCCCATTTTTATGTAGTACATTTTCTTCTTCTACTACTTCTAAGAGTTGGTAAACAAACTGAAAGGGTGCATACTGCCACCTGGAGTGTGTTGTTTGAACAGGTATAAAGCCAAGGTTGGCGATTTACTGCCACCTGCCGTTACGGAATGTTTGCTCACAAGCATAATTAATTGGCTGATCCCTCCTGATGACCCAGATATAATTATGTGATCCTTCCTTAACCCATAGGAAGTCCCACCCAGTTGACTTCTTCAAAAGGGTGAAAGTCCTCAATGGCACTGACCATGCTAAAAAGGGCATTTGGGCACTAGAGTCCTCTATCTATCTCTATGGTTGGTTCTAATGCTGCATTCATAACCAAAGTGGGAAGGTGGTATTTACTACATACGATTGGGGGGGGGGGGGGAGAAGGATAACTTTTATACTATTCCAGGTATTCCTTAAAGAGGTAGGGTTTCAAGTGTCTATCATCCCTGAGCTCCGACTTCTCCCACATGCTGACCTCTGACCTCACCTACTAAGGAAATTACCTTAATAACAGCATTTTCAGCAGTTAAATGTAACAACAAAACATTGTTTATAAAAAGCAATCTATTAATGTCGTTTTTGAAGAGTATAATTTGTTTACAAGCATGATAGCTGTATTTTTAGTTGATGGTTGACGCAGCTTGTTGGCCAATAGCCAATCTGCGTTTCTCAACAAGTTCAAAGCACGTGAATGCATCCAACTTCACAACTGGTATTTACCACCTTCCCACTTGGACGCAGCATCATAGACGGGCAGAGACAGGTGAAGGTGATAGAAAGTCAGAGGTCATTTTCCCACACACAGTCTGAAATGTAGAGATTTCAAGAGTTTCTCAACATCCTGCTTCCTAGACTAATTCATTACAGTTCCACATTTCTCCTACATCTTAATAAATGAGGACACACTGTTTTGCCTCATAATGACTTGGCAGCAAACCTTGAGTTTTGACTGTGAGCTGTTCCCTATGGCTGCCAATGTGATCAGTAGTTACAGTAGGCCTATGTTTTGACTCTGAATGTGGCCTAGGGGAGTGTGACAGATGGAGAGTTACCTTCCTCGCCGGGCAGGGAGAAGTCGTCAGGGTCATCCTGGGCCTCCAGGCAGGTGGCAGGGACCCAGCCCTGGGCCTCGTCTGAACTAACAAACCACCAACCTGCACACAAAGAGCAAAACACACACACAAAAACACAGAAGAGTCCGTCACACAGCAGAGGCTCTCTCTAGGTCTTGGATTGGCCTTGTCTGTTTGGAAGGTTCTGAGGACAACGTGATAGCATTATACTGCTATTTGGCTCTATTTAGCGGTTGTCTTGGTACACATTTAAAGCACCTGTATCACAGGCTTTCATTCAAGTATGATAACATAATTTCAGTTGATTGGGGGTAAAAAACAGTTTGAGACAATGTGGTTGCTTTATAAAACACGTTAAGGCCGCCAGGACTCAGGTTGTCCCAAATGGCACCCTATTCCCTTTATAGTGGACTACTATTGACCAGGGCCCATAGAGCCAACACTATATAGGCAAGTGTCATTTGGGACACAACCTCAGTCATTTAGCTAAAGTCTGTCGCCATCTGAGCCAGGTCTCGTACCAGACTCATTCTTCTCGATGACCTCCACCGTCTGTCCCACGTGCAGGCTGATCTCAGAGCTCTCCTGCTTCTCATAGTCAGTGACGGCCACATACTGGTCTAGGAGCAGAGGGTCAGCTGAGGTGGAGTCTCCTGCAGGGAGGGACACAGAGCACACATACATGTAGATCTGACCTCTCTTCCAGCCACACCACACCGCAGAGAGCAGATAGAGGAAGCAGGCATCGTTTTAGAGACAGGGAGGAGAAAATGGTGGTAAGAGAGCAGAGGGACGGAGCGTTTGAGAGGGAGATGTTATGAGAGAGGACAGGATAGGAAGGAGGGTTATGCTAATCAACCACATGGCTGCCACAGACACAGAGACAACCCGCCACCAAGACTCCCCAACACCTAGACTACCACAATGCTGTAGGTTAGAACAACAAGAGGGCCTGCTCTCTAATGTGCACTTGATGCGATGACAACCAGAGCTAACCGGGGATGCAGTGAGTGTGATGCACTCATAATATCCTCTAAATTCATAATTGTACACTCCCAACAAGGTTGTATTTGCTTTAGCTTGATATAGAGACAGATGCGTTGGCTGGATCACATACTAGGCTATCCCTTCCCCCGCTCTACCCCACACTGCCAAGGCCCACCTCAGAGCCAGTTCCCAGCAAAAGGCCCAACAGCCAAGGTCCCCTAACGGATGGCTAGCAACCCAGGGGTCACACACAGAGTATGACCAATCATGAATCTGTTACTACCTCTCTTTAGGAAAGTAGTCGCTCTCTCCACAATCCCTGAAGGAGGAAAATTAAGGAAATTGAAATTGAAACTTGACATGGATGGAACATAGATGGGTTGGTTAGATGAAAAAAGAAAAGGAAAAACTCTTAAATAAAATACTATTTAGAAGTAATGGTGTGTATCTAACTTCAAATAAATTAAATATATGATTGACTTACAGTCTTACTACAATCTTAAATCTTTATATAGCAATCTAGAGTGAAAATAATGGAGACTATATGCAACAATACAGCTAGAGGGCGCTCCAATCTCCATTGAGAAATGTAGTCAGATGGATTCCAACACCACACAGGGTTTTTCTCTGCCAGAGGCAATAGGACCTCTGTGGCTGGACTCTTAAATACTGGTGCAGGAAATGTTTATCCTAATCTATTTATCACTTCAGTGCTCATCCAGATGATATTGTCCACATAAACTTAATACCACAAACAATAATAACTTAATCCAAAATGTAATACAAAACTTCCTTACCTGGCTTCTTCTTTCCAATGGGTTCCCTGTGAAAGATAAAAAATCATTAGAATCAAGTAAGAGGAAATATATAACTTGGACACAGTGAGTCAGTAAAGGTATTTGGAATGTTTATTTACATAGAAACACTTAGAAAATATTTCTACCTACGTAACCACGGTTATATGCTTCTGAAACCTCTGAAAATATAAAATGTTAACCCTGTGAATAATCACACTGATTATTTTAATTTAATTCAGGCACGTTTTGGGACTCACTTTGAAATAAATAATTTGATCACGGTTCAATCACATTCAAATCTCAGTAATACATTTGTTATGCTATTCATGCAGGCTTTCTAGTCTAGATGAGTGAAACGAAACTCTGTCAGATCCATTACATATCTACAGATGTGTTGACCTTTGCTCCAGATGAGAGGGGATATGGTTAATAGTGAGTTTCTGATACTGGGCTGAATGAGTACATGATAATGTATCTGCAATCCTCTATCCATTCTCATATGCGGCAGCCGATTCTCTCTCTCTCTCTCTCTCACTCTCCCTCTCTCTCTCTCTCTCTCTCTCTCTCTCCGTCTCTCTCTCTCTCTCTCTCTGTCTCTCTCTCTCTCTCTCTCTCTCTCTCTCTCTCTCTCTCTCTCTCTCTCTCTCCCCGTCTCTCTCTCTCCGTCTCTCTCTCTCTGTCTCTCTCTCTCTCTATGTCTCTCTCTCTCTCTCTGTCTCTCTCTCTCTCTCCCTCTCTCTCTCTCTCTCCGTCTCTCTCTCTCCCTCTGTCTCTCTCTGTCTCTCTCTCTCTCTCTCTCTCTCTCTCTCTCTCTCTCTGTCTCTCTCTCTCTCTCTCTCCGTCTCTCTCTGTGTCTCTCGTCCCTCTTATTTTCCTCCTGAATAAAATTCACACTCTCAATCACATAATGCATTGTTCGCCTGGCAACCTTGTTACTGCGCTACCCCCAGAGCATCTGCTAAATTACTTAAATGTAATAAATCTACAGCCATTAGTTTGACTATTAGCATATTGTCAAAAGAGTCTCCAGCCAAGACAACCCCAGATCCACCACTAGCCTCGCTTATCAAAGGGAAACAGGGTCAGAAAGGCAATGCAATACTGGGTAAGACAGGATCACACTAGTGACTCAACTAGGCACTGTCCAGTATTCTGTAAGTACATTACAAGAGTTTTCCATAAGATCAAATCAGACCTCCCCCTCACGCTAAATGAGGTTGCATTCGACCATGGATGAGTCAATCATGGTCAAGGAGCCATTGAATCTCTCCTCCCCTCTCTTCTATCTCTCCTCCCCTCTCTTCTATCTCTCCTCCCCTCTCTTCTATCTCTCCTCCCCTCTCCTCTATCTCTCCACCCCTCTCTTCTATCTCTCCACTACTCTCTCATGCCTGCTACTTCAATCTCGCCGATGGACAGACAGTGGCATCCCTCCCTACTCTGGTCGATTTATAGAGGGCTGTATTTCATCCCTCCATAGCGACCCAAGAGAGAGGGGCTGCTGACGCGATGTCAGCCCAGCTGAACACAGTCTGCATTAGAAGAGAGCTGTAATCCAATTTTAATAAAGACAAACCAAGGTCTTTTCTATATTCATCTGCCTCTCCCTCCGACCCTCCATACTCCCCTCCCCCGTTCCTCGTAGCAGATGCTTGGGGTTTGTCTGTCTGAAAGGTAGCTAATAAGGTATGGGTCCTTGGCAACGGCCAGAGGGAACTAGCTCTCATCCATCTGTCTGTCTGAGGAGGTGACCTGACAGCAGCCATTCATAGCGGCCAGAGCAGTGACAGGCCTTGTATTCATCTCCTTCCACAGAGAGTCATCTCCTCTGCAGTTACTGAACACACCATGCATATTGTATCAAACAATCATCTTGGATTTCGACCAAGGTACTCATGACTGCAATAATGTCGATGGCCAACAAACTCTGAGGAATGATAAGCATCCCTGTGCAAAGTCACTGATTAACGGTGCAGAATTATATTGTTGATGTTCAGTCACAATCTGTTGATTTGTGTGTGAAACGGCGCACAGCAAAAAAGCTAATCGACACACTATCGCAGAAAAGTGTCTGGTTAAGATTGGACAGCCTAGATAAGATTGTAACATTACTCCCATAAACCCTGTAGTAGTAGTTTTGGGATGTGTGAGTCGAACACCTCTCTGCATAAATAAATATAACACATAGGCCTATTTATGTGGCAAAAAGACTGTAGCTGAGCACGTAAAATATGGGTTTTACACTGCTAAGTGCACATAGATAGGAATCTGTTTGTTATAGAAGAAAAACTGATAAGAAAAATGTTGGAGAAAGAAAGAATCTGAAAAGCATCTGGTTTGATACATTTACATATTTCTAGTCTCGCACACCAGCCATCACTGGGCAAGCAATAGCTTAAAGGCCCAGTGCAGTCAAAAAGCTTGATTTCCCTGTGTTTTGTATATATTTCCACACTATGAGGTTAGAATAATACTGTTAAATAGTGAAAATGATGATAATGCCCTTTTAGTGTAAGAGCTGTTTGAAAAGACTGCCTGAAATGTCAGCCTGTTTTGGTGGGATGGAGTTTTGGCCTGCCTGGTAACATCATCCGGCGGTAAATTAGTTAATAGACCAATAAGTAAGAGAGTTCCAAACCTCTCTGCCAAGAACAACTAGTTTTCAGTTTATCCCTCCCCACAGACCACTCCTAGACAGTCCTATCAACATTATTGCTTGAGAAATTGCTCTTTGCTAAGGAGCTATTTTTGTTTCTTTTTGACCATATTAATTGAAAACAATCACAGTAATGTACTTAATTGCTACCCAGAAATGATTTCATATTGAGATAAAAACGGCTGAATTGGACCTTTTCAGAAAGCATGAAACATATTAAGCCATACAAAGGACATTACTCCATGTTCTCTCCAACCAAACCCAAGTGCCTGACATAGAAATCCATGACCTATGTCACATGATGACAGACTGATTAAGACAAGGTGACCAGTCAAACACTTTGGTTGACAGCTGTTTTTAATTTATTTATTTTCATTTTGAGGGTCTGACCCCAACTTAATATTATGGTCTCTCTGAAAGCATTCACCTGTAACCACTAGTAACCCCTCATGCCCTCCAGGCGTCTGGTAGCTCAACAACAACACATACGTGATGGGGGAAATGGCGTGGTGACTTTATGACTTAGTGTTGGCACGTTGTAACTGTCAGGCCGACTATGACACTAATGTGTTGAGTGAGATTTACAAGAGCTCATGCCGCCTCAGCAGTTCTCTCATACACTGCTCCCATAGGCTACATGTTATGTAGCTCCCAATCAGGGCAAACCAAACGGTCTCTCATCCACCACAGCAATACCAGAGGGAGCATGACATCATAGTCATTACACTCTATTATAACCTATTACTGATGGATTGGCTTGTTTCAACATGACATGGTGGTCAGGAGGAGGTCATTTCTGCTACTTCATGAAGCAAAGCCTACACAGCATTATGCTCCTCTTTCTTTCTTTATAGTGTTTGTTGTTGGCCCAGTACCAGTGTGAATGTTGTGATGTGCATACAGTAGAACTTATATGCATTTGTGCTGCTTGTCAGACTGTGTGACTGAGTGTGTTCCTTTGACAAGAAGGTGACGAATGGTGTGATGTGTAGCTTACTCTTTGGGTGGGTTGAGGTCTTCAGGACGGGTCTCAAAGAACATACGAACCTCCTCACACTGGGATATGTACACGGGCAGCTGAATCAGAGCCTGCACATAAAGACAGAAACACAGGAAGGTTAGAATGTTAATCAATCAGAACCAAATGAAGTTTCATTCCAAAACGCTATACAGTATATCAATTTTCTGAATTGTTGGTAAATTTGCTTTTATTGTTTAAAGAAATTAAGAAAGAGTTTTATGTGTTTTTTTTCACAATCTAATCATGGCATGTAGTTGTTCAATGACAGACATGTATTTCTTTAAAATCTATCACTTCATGGTTTTATTTCATGTACATGTTTTTTTGCTAAATGCTATATATCCACCTCACTCTCAGAGAAATAAGTAGTACTGCTAGGTTTTACACAGTGAAATGAAACAAATAACATAACTACATTTTTTATAAAGAACTGTACAAATGATACAGCTGTAGCTAGGCTGGTAGAGCACGGCGCTTGTAACGCTAAGGTAGTGGGTTCGATCCCCGGGACCACCCATACACAAAAAAATAATTATGCACGCATGACTGTAAGTCGCTTTGGATAAAAGCGTCTGCTAAATGGCAGATTATTATATATACAGTATCAGTCAAAAGTTTGGACACGCCTAGTCATTCAAGGGTTTTTCTTTATTTTTACTATTTTCTACATTGCAGAATAATAGTGAAGACATAAAAACTATGAAATAACACATATGGAATCATGTAGTAACCAGAAAAGTGTTTAACAAATCAAAATCTATTTTATATTTGAGATTCTTCAAATAGCCACCCTTT